TCCTAGGCCTAAGGGTTCTTTAGTTATTGATCAAAAACCGTTTTTGCTAACAAGGTCAATGTGACCTTGACCTTTGACCCCTTGGCCCAAAAATCAGTAGGGGTCATCTACTGATCATGACCAATCACCATACCAAGTTTGAAGTTCCTAGGCCTTAAGGTTCTTTAGTTATTGATCGGAAACCGTTTTTGCTTTCAAGGTCAATGTGACCTTGACCTTTGACCCCTTGACCCCAAAATCAATAGGGGTCATCTACTGGTCATGACCAATCACCATACCAAGTTTGAAGTTCCTAGGCCTTAAGGTTCTTTAGTTATTGATTGGAAACCGTTTTTGCTTTCAAGGTCAATGTGACCTTGACCTTTGACCCCTTGACCCCAAAATCAATAGGGGTCATCTACTGGTCATGACCAATCACCATACCAAGTTTGAAGTTCCTAGGCCTTAAGGTTCTTTAGTTATTGATCGGAAACCGTTTTTGCTTTCAAGGTCAATGTGACCTTGACCTTTGACCCCTTGACCCCAAAATCAATAGGGGTCATCTACTGGTCATGACCAATCACCATACCAAGTTTGAAGTTCCTAGGTTTAAGGGTTCTTTAGTTATCACTCGGAAACCATTTGGTCTACGGACCGACGGACCGACAGACCGACGGACCGACGGACCGACAAGTGCAAAGCAATATACCCCCTTTTTTTCAAAATGGGGGCATAATTAGTTTCATGCGCAAAACGCAATCTTCAGAAGTGTAAATGGTAGTTCTCAATAAAGGGACGTAACTATGAAGTGTAAATGGTGGTTTCTCAATAAAGGGGCGTAACTATATTAATACTGTTCATTTTTAAAGTTGCTTAATAGATATTTCCTGGAATGTCTGCAGGTTGTTACAAGTTCGTTTCTTTTGTTAAGTTTAGCGTTTTCTTGTTTGCAGATAATGTAGAATTTCTCCCATAGGCACAAGTTGCATCGGTCGGAGGCTGGGTTGTAGGGTGAGGCTTGTTTTAAGATATTCCATGTTATGTTAAAGTCGATGTTTTCTTCTTTGAGTTCCCAGATATATTTACTTAATTCAGTGCTGTTTTTAAGCTTAGGATTTCTAAATGATGCTTTGTGGTTTGTAAATCGGGTTTTAAAGGTATTTTCTGTTAATCCTACATAAGTTTGTTTAGGCTTGTCGTCGTTTTAACCATCATATATATAATATGTATATATATATGTATATATATATATCTATATATATATATATATATATACATTTATATATATATATATATATATATATATTTATATATAAATATTAAATATATATGTGTATATATATAATATGTATATATCTAAAAAAAAAAAAGTCAAGCTAATGAATGACCCCTGGGGGTGGGGCCAATTTTGACCCCAGGGCTTTTATTTGAACAAACTTGGTAGACACCCATGAGAACATGTTTCATGCTAAATATCTTAGCTCTAGCTCTTTGAGTTCTTTAAAAGAAGATTTTTTAAGTTTTTACTATATGCACATAGGGAAAATCAATGACCCCCGGGGGCGGGGCCAATTTTGACCCTAGGGCTTTTATTTGAACAAACTTTGTAGACACTCATTAGAAGATGTTTCATGCTAAATATCTTAGCTCTAGCTCTTTGGGTTCTTTAAAAGAAGATTTTTTAAGTTTTAACTATATGCATATAGGGAAAATCAAAGACACCCTGGGGCGGGGCCAATTTTGACCCTAGGGCTTTTATTTGAACAAACTTGGTAGACACTCACTAGAAGATGTTTCATGCTTTATATCTAAACACTAGCTATCTGGGTTTTTCAAAGAAGATTTTTAAGTTTTTGCTATACACAGTCATATAAGGAAAATCAATGACCCCCGGGGCGGGGCCAATTTTGACCCCAGGGCTTTGATTTGAACAAACTTTGTAGACACTCACTAGAAGATGTTTCATGCTTAATAGCTAAACTCCAGCTATTTGGGTTTTTTTAAAGAAGATTTTTTTAAGTTTTTGCTATACACATAGAAGGAAAATCAATGACCCCCGGGGCGGAGCCAATTTTGACCCCAGGGCTTTTATTTGAACAAACTTGGTAGACACCTATTAGAACATGTTTCATGCTAAATATCTTAGCTCTAGCTCTTTGAGTTCTTTAAAAGAAGATTTTTTAAGTTTTTACTATATGCATATAGGGAAAATCAATGACCCCCTGGGGCGGGGCCAATTTTGACCCTAGGGCTTTGATTTGAACAAACTTGGTAGGCACTCATTAGAAGATGTTTCATGCCAAATATCTAAGCTCTAGCTCTTACGGTTTTTTAGAAGAAGATTTTTAAGTTTTTCTTATTGGTTGCCATGGCAACCAGAGTTTTTAATGGAATTTAAATTTTTGAACAACTTTGAAAGGGGTCCACCTAAGGATCATTTCTGTAAAGTTTGGTTGCAATTGGCCATGTAGTTTAGGAGGAGATGTTGTTTGAAAAGTTTGACGCCATTTTTTGAAGGACGCACGACGGACGCAGAGTGATGACAAAAGCTCACCTTTGAGCACTTCGTGCTCAGGTGAGCTAAAAATGAGTCTAAAATGAATTCAAGTGATAAAAAGAAAACAACAATTATCCAATTAACACTGTTTTCAGCTGATTAGCGAGATATTTTTTGAGAATCTAATCTCTAGCTAACTAAGATGGCATTTTCACATATAAATAATTATATTAAAGGCCCATTATGGCACAGAAATGCTTTTATTTTTATTACTAAAAGGTTTTTCAATTTTGGCGTTCTTTTACAGTATTCAAAAAGTTACTCAATGGTCAATTAGCTGACAAATCTTCTTTATCTGTTGCTTTTAGTAGAGTTATTGTGAATAAGAATTTTGTATGAAAGTCAAAATAATATGTTGTTTACATTTTGATACTTTGATGAAAAATTATTTCACATATATCATTACTTTCTTCAGGTAACAAACATCGAACATTCTCTAAAACCATTATCTAAACATTATATAAGATTCATGTTTGCCCTTTCAAACGACGTAAAATTTTATTTGTTTCTAAGGCATAATGTGTCTGTAATGTAGTCTAATAATAAACATGCGCTCCTAATTTTCTCATCAGCACTTATCCAATATAATAGAAAATCTTTTGCATGGTATTGACTGACTTTAATAAAGCTACAACAACAATCTAACATGATTTCCTGTATCAGCTGTATCTTGTACATTTTGAAAGTAACTCTGGTTATCTAAAGAGCTGGGCTCAACTAAGGCACTGATAAATTATAAATGAGCCATGCCATGACAAAACCAACATAGTGCGTTTGCGACCAGCATGTATCCAGACCAGCCTGCGCATTCGCGCAGTCTGATCAGGATCCATGCTGTTTGCTTACATACCCTCAACTAACAAGTAGAGGAACTGATAGCATACAGCATGGATCCTGATCAGACTGCACGCATGTGCAGGCTGGTCTGGATCCATGCTGGTTGCAAATGCACTATCTTGGTAATGTCATGGCACAGCTCATTATTTTCATTAATTCTAATCTAAATACAATGACAACATTTTGTGAGCAACATCCCTCGAGCTTAAGTTCAATAGATAATGATTCAATAATCATCTTAATATGTCTTTGACATTTAGTTCTACTTGTACTTAAATACAAAGCAGAAAAAAATATCTTACACTTATTTGTGATAATGCACTTACTGTCTGACTCCTGTTGATTCTTGATAGGTTTGTTCTGAGAATTATATATTCATTCAATTTAAAGGTGTATTTTAACCAGAGAGAAATAAAACAAAAACTCTTTAATACACACATGAACTTATTAAGAATAAACATACAATCCAACATTTTCATTAAAAAGATTACTGAATTACAAGCCACAGGCAATTATGACACTAAGTGAATGTTCAAATACAGAATAAACAATTATGACACATGTACAAATGCTCATGAAAATCACTCCATTTCAACCACAAAGCATTGCTTTCAAATGTCATCAATTTCTGAAACACCATGAATTCTACAAATGTATCTATTTTTAACTTAATGTCTTTTTAAATTTCAGCATACAGCCCACCCATTGTACTGTCTCTACCAAAGAGCAGGTTTAACAATCATAAGCTAAAGAAATAGAACTTTTACTACATGATTATTTACATAACTAAAATCTATGTATTTAACAACAGCTTAATTAACTATATATCATAAACAATTCAATAAAGAAATCATTAAAGAACAAGTATATGAATCTGTAACATGCATTTATCATTCTACAATGTACATACATTCAATAACAAATACTTAAACATCTTAAAATATAACTTAACTTATAAAATCTACCTTACAAAAGCAAAAAAATAAATTTCAATACTTTTAATAAAAAAATTAAAATAACGCATTTTTCTCAAATTTTTATATATGACATTTGTTTAATGTTTTTCATCTTCAGTAATCAGTGACGGCAGTGTCCTAATGCTTTTTTACTTGCTTGATAAAATCAAAATATATAATTCTTAAAATTCCTTCATCAAAGTGATAAATTTGCCAATGCTCAAAAATATTTGTGAAACTACACACTACATTTTATATAATATACAATATCACAATAGCGCAACGTTCATGTGATGCCGTAAAAACATTACTCCGATATGGTAGTACAAAAATGGTGAGTATCCTTATTTACAATGGTTTTGTATTAAAACAATACCTACTCAAGGCTGTTTGCTCGCAACATTAATCATAAACTGTTTTATTTTTCACATTTTCTTTTTCAAATATAACAAAATTTCTTTTCTCATTTTTTTTTTCAAATTTAACAAAAAAAAAAAAATGTTCAATTTTTTTCAAATTTAACAACTTGATTTTGCATCTAGACTGCAGATTACTCATATACTATTCCATGAATGAATGAATATGGCTAGTTCTCCTAACCAATATATTTTAAAAGCTTTCAAATTGGGACTTCTTTTTTTGTTGAAATACTGAGTCAATGTAATATTACTAGTGCCAGTACAAATTTTCATTTTATATCATTCATAATTTCCATGGTGATAATTTAAAATCTCGAAGAGACATTGCAATGCTTATCTAATAGCAACTTTTCCTATTAACTATACTACTTTATTTGTCCCATGAAAAGTAAAAGTCAAACTGTACAGGTAAATGGATAACGGCATTGTTAGAAGTCAGTTGATAAACAAGGCAATTTTCCTCAGGCAGATGGACCAGTGTCCTAATGTCCTATCATACTGAAACTGGTAGACATATTTCAATAAGAAATCACCATCAATGGTGGTTGCATAGTTTATATACCTTATACAACAATGTAATGTGGCTTTAATCTAAAACATTCCCATCCACGATCAATCCTCAACATAGTGATGTGATAGAGTAAGACATGTTAAATTTATCAATACAAAATTCTTCTTTTTCAGCCTTTTTTCTCTTTTTTTTTGTTGTTATCTTTTTGCAGAATGTTTCATTATATAATAATATGTATAATATGTATATAAGTTTATAAGTAATATACATTTGTATATATAAATATTTGATAAATATCACTTAAAATGTTCTGCTCATCTAGCATGTGTATTATATAAAGGCCCATTACAGTGTGTAAATACTTTAACTATATAGCTTTATATACAAACTAAACATAGCATATCAATACTGTACTAAAATAATAGGTGGTTTTTATAGACATAACATGGTTTAAAGCTTTATCTAGCATAATGTACTAAATAAATTGCTTTGTGCGATCTATTACATGTATTTCACAAACAAAAAAAGCTAAATAAAAAAAAATTATATTAAGTAGTATAATTATGTATTTCTTATTTAATCAACATCAAGACATTCATTTTTCCATACTATTGCATAATATAAATTTAAATCCTTTTCAAATTTTCTGTTCAAAAGTTTATTACAAAAATTCTAGCAGTATTCATTTAAAGCATTCTCACATTTACTTTTCAATACTGATTATAAGGTAAAATTTGGACCTATTTAAGTCTATATAAAAATGTTAAAGGCACATTCATTAGATGTAATTCATTAACAAAGGTCATGTATCAACAAATTAAACATAAAATGTCTAACAAAAACTTTCTCAAAACATACAACAACTGGCGAAAAAAAATTCTCGCCTAGAATATCTACTCATTAAAGATTATGAACAACATTGACAATTGCTGATCACAATTTGGGAGATTTTTTTACTAAAGTATTGAAACTGTCAAACAATATACATATCTTGACCAAGAATCAAAATAATGGTATAAATACAAAATTTCTAACAAAATGTTTGTAGGAGTTGTGGCCCTTTCTAACATTGTTGAGTAAAGGTATATGATGAAACTACATGATTGTACTGAGTAGCACATTGCAGAAAAGTATCAATAATAAATAAATAATAATATGTTTCAAAGTAAGAAAACTGAAATGGTCATTATAATGGGCATAATTCTTGAAAATTTAACTAGTCTGTCAAAAATTATTATCCGTAATTGGGGGTTAAATATATGAAATAAACCATTAAACTTTGTTTCAGTTTTCTCAGTAAAGGCAAAATATAAGTTGTAAATATGTAACATATAGATAATGATAATACATATATGTACAATATTTCATCAAGAATCAATTTAACAACTCTAAAAGGGGAGATAACCATAACCTGAACACTAGTGTACCTAACAACATGGGTTTTTTTATCACTTTTCCTTTTAAAGAATGAAATTCATTGTATATATTTTTTACAACTTGTTTCTCCAATCACCACACATGATCACATGACTAGGTTGCTAGGATACACAATATCACAAAGTCTTGGCTCCAAACTCAAATGGTATATTTATGAAGATCTGGTTGCTATGGAAGGAAATCACATGACTTTGTTGCTATGATGTGCGGAATGGTTCTCAAGTTGTATTTCTACAATATCACAGACTGTGTCCTCAACTCACACCCTCCCTGCATTGAGAACTGGCAAATGTGCTTTTTCACCTGAAAATAAACAGATTTCTTAAGTTATAAAGAATAATGACATTATCTTTATGACCAACCATAGTGTATTTCTCATAATAAATACACCTCTCAGTTTATAAATAGTGATGATATAAGTAGAAAGAACACAAAAAGTCAATTCTGAGATTTCATGAAGAATCACAAAATATAAAGTACATAATAAAAATTTTGTCACCTTAGTGCAATAACATAAGTGCTTCTAAATTTAATAGCAGTTATTCAGTTATTGCACTAAGGTGACAAATTATGTGTTAAATAACAAACATAGTCTTTATTACATAAAGTGTATAGATGAAAACTCTGTTTATAAACTTCATATGACACTTTAATATCAAATGAACTTTTTTAAAACAATAGCCCAACATTATAACAGGTGACTGTGCAAAGACAAATGCATATTATCCAGTTTAAAACTTTTTTCATTATTATTTCAAAAATCTTTTTTTCATAAACTTGTTTAATAATTATGATAGAATTGAAAATATCTAGTTGCTGAAAATAAAATGGTTAATAATTTGTTTTTCACATGTTTTTTTGTCTAAATATATTAAGAAGCACTATAAATATTAATCAGATATATTTTGACAATATTTTATAGATCAGAAAAAGGTAATTTCATGGTGCCAAAAGTTGATACCAGGAAGGCATGCACATAATTTATGGAATCAAGAAAAATAACTTTCTCTTAATATTAAACATTTCAGTTAAATTTCACACCATACATATAATAGGTATCGTTTTTGGATACCATCTTATCAATTTACTATTATTTTCGTCTCTAGAGTCCAAAAAGTCCATATCAAACCCCTTATAGCCTTGTCTCCAATTCCAGAGTCGGATTAGGTTCATACCAAATCTATATCGGACCCTATCTAGCTTTGTGTTGATTTTTTGAGAGTTCAAAATCAATATCAAATCCTTATTGAAATTAAAGAAGCTTAGTTCTGTCAACATGCCAAAAATGTGGTGTGAAATAAGGAGGCAATTAAACATGGATGAGAACAATACTGATTCTATTGGACTCGTACACAGCTGCTAAACTTATATCAGACTCAACCACCACCTTGTCCAATATAGTTTTGACAGATATTATTAATTCTCCAATAGAATTCAGTATTGTACTCAAATTTAATATTTCATCTTGCCCTTTGCTTACATGGCAAAAAGGAAAGAAGTTCACTTGTTATTGTAATATATTCCATATTTACTAACCAAGAGGGCTATGACAGCCCTGTATCACTAACCCAAGCTTATAAATTTTCTTCATTCAATTTTCTTTGTAATCTCTTAATAAACAGACACAATCAAAACTGAGTCTGCAATCTACAAATATTTTTTTTCTCAGATTTTTATAAGCACAAAACTTCACTCCAAAGTGTGTTGCTTTTTTATTTATCAACATTAATTCAACAATGTTGTAGTGGATTAACAAAGAAATATTCCTAACACTGACTCACTGGTTTAGATGGAGATGTTGTTTGAAGAAAAAAGTGGACACTTAGACAGACAACTGACAGTGAGTTATCAGTCTAGCTCACCTTAAACACAGTGTGCTCAGGTGAGCTAAAAAGTAAAACCAACAAATTTAATATAATGTTTTCATTAAATTTTCTAATTATTAAATAATTAACGTGTGCAGTCAGCCAAGACTTGACCTTGTATTTCCGAAGTCAGAAGATCTTAGACTTTCCTTGCAGGGCTTACAAGGCAGGCAGGCAATCAAAGCAAAGACAATATAACATTGCATACAGACACAGGCAGTGCCATAACAAAATTTATACAAGGTCAATAGGTTGTTACATATTTGCAGCATGCTTACTTAATTAATAGCTGAATACATACTTTAATTACATGAAATATAAAACTGTATTCTTATTTTGCTTTTTAAATAATCTTGATAAACTATTTAGTTCTGTATATATCAGCCAATAATTGATATAAATATTAAAGGGACTCCACTAATGTTTCTTGACATGAAGGGAATGAAATTATTTTTCCACGATTTGTGTACCATTGGAGGTCTAGACCAATAAATAGTTTTTAAATTTCAAGATAATTCCATAACCCGTTTTTTTTTTCTTCTGAATCCTGAATCGTTATTTTAAATGTGCTAAATAACCCAGAAATGAAAAGTGTTAAATACAATGCATTTCTCTCAAATTGGAGAAAAACAAAAAAATCAATTTTTAATTTCGTTTGACCACGCATATTTCTTTTGTAATCTTTTTACAGATGTTTTCATTTTAAGTGTTTCACTTGATCTATATACAAAGTTCAAATTTATGTTTTTAGGCTTTTTGACCTCAGTGGAGTTCCTTTAAAAACCAACCGCTCTCATATTCATGTGCCAATTTTAACATCTGATTATTCAGAGCAAACTCAAGTAACCTTATTTTCCCTAATTTTGGCAAAATTAAGCTTAAAATATATTATTGTAATATTTAATTTATTTTAAAAGAAAAGCAAATAAAGTAAGACAACTCAAGACATGTTAATTTTCACATCTCAACAGTTTTACAGTGTCTATACTGTTCACAGCTCTATTCTGTATCATTTATCATTTACTTTTGGGGCGGGAGGATCACATATGTCAGAACTTGGGCCCATTACCTTTTTGCTATTTATTATTTCGAAAACCTCTAGTTTTTGTGTATATTTACATTTATGTATTAGCAATAAAATAAGATTAAATTAATGACTCTGAAATCTATGAATAAGCAAAAAACAAAGCTTGATAAATCCAGAACTCAAATTCAGACAAGAGAGAAGTTATATAAAATAGAAAAGCTCTTAAACAGATACAATGTTGACTTTATAATATGTTGAAGCGGCTACATATATTATAATTACCATTATATTGTGCAGAATTTTCATACATAAAAAAAATACAATTTCAATGTCCTCATTTATTTTATGCTTTTCAATGGATTACTGATTTATCCATGAAATGAATTAGATCTATGCACCTATGAAGTTTCATAATGATATCTCAAAGGCCTTTTGAGTTATGCTCTGGACAAAAATTAATTTTGAAAAATAACAAAGGGCAATAACTCAAAAATTATGCAGGGTAGAGTTATCATTCTTGTGCACTGCACTCCTCCTCAATGAGATCCATCCACCTATGAAGTTTCCAGTTGATACCTCAAATACTTTTTGAGATAAGCTCTGGACAAAATAGCATGAAAAAGAACAAAGGGCAATAACTCAAAAATTGTATAGGGAAGAGTTATCATTCTTGCGCACAACATTTCTCCTCAATAAGATCTATCCACCTATGACATTTCATGTTGATATCTCAAACACTTTTTGAGTTATGCCTCACTCAGGTGAAAAATTAAGTAAGAAAAATAACAAAGGGCAATAACTCAAAAATTATGAAAGGTAGAGTTATCATTCTTGTGCACTGCACACCTCCTGAGTGAGATCTATGCACCTATGAAGTTTCATGTTGAGATCTCATAGGCTTTTGGAGTTATGCTCTGGACAAAAATCAATTTTGAAAAATAACAAAGGGCAATAACTCAAAAATTATGCAGGGTAGAGTTATCATTCTTGTGCACTGCACTCCTCCTCAATGAGGTCTATCCACCTATGAAGTTTCAAGTTGATAACTCAAATACTTTTAGAGATATGCTCCGGACAAAAATGTCAAACGGAAGGACGGACGGACGGAAGGTAGGGCGGACGGACGGAGACTTTTTCTATATCCCCCGTCGAAAACGATAATAAAAAGATAATTTGTTTGTTTTTTGTGTAAGATGTAATTCTATTTCATCTTGTGAATTTTTAAAAACAGAATTCTCACTCGTGGTTATGCCACTCGTGAGAATACTGTTTTTAAGCTCACTCGATGAAATAAAATTTCATCTTACACACAAACAAATATCCTCTATATCTTGGTTATTAATCCATTATCGTTAGTTAAGACAGACAAAAATAACTTTCAGTATTGTATTATTCAACATTACAAGACTACAGTGAAATCACTGAATTTCCTGGGCATGAAATTGCGTGACTGTTAAAAACGCCATTTTTGTGTTGTTGTTTTTTTACCATTCATGGATTATCTGTTGAAATATAATTGCAAGAAAGCAAAATGCAAATAATAATAATGCAAGTTATACAAAAATACAATTTTGTTGGATCTTAAATTTGTGGATTTACCTATTCACAAAAACAACAAATATAAGTATGCCATGAATAGTATAATATTAATTTTTCATTAATTGAAAAAGGCAGAAAACTACATTAAGCATGCTGTTTCATATATTATATTTAGATTTCAAAAAACCCTGACAATGACAAGTTTCCAGCTGAATAGACAAAAGTGCAATCTAAATTGTATAATACAGTATATAGGATGCAAATCTAAGTGGAAAAATGTGGCATTAAAACACTAATACTTTGCGTTATATTGAAGCCCACAGCAGTTAATTATTGACAAGTAACTTTAAGTCAGAGATCTTATCCATTTAATTGGATGTTAAAGAATTTTACTTTTGAAATATCTCAATGTACCTAATACATTGAAAATTTTGTTAAAAGATACCAACATGTCATTTATACCTGTTCATTTTAGAATTATTAATTGTAAGTAATTGTGCTATGTGTTTTCAGGAATTAAAACTATCTGAAAGTACTAAGTTAAACTATTAAAAAAAACTAAAGATTGAGTGCTCTCTGAAGTGAGTTACAATCATAGAAGTAAAATAGCAAACCCCACCCATGCAAGACCTGTTAGTGATTATAAATGACTCTTAACTTAAAAAAATCTTACATAAAAATATGGAAAATAATTCATATATGTAACTGATTTTTTTCAATAAGTCTATAATTCTAACCACTTTTTTTGTGTTTCTAACACTTAAAAAAAAACTTTTCTTTTTTGCTTATTAATAATTATGGCCCAGCTTGATAAACGTTGAAAATTTTATGCCACTATATTCTAACTTAGGTGAATTTTAAACAGTTAATATTTCAAAAGGAAAACTATATTGTTTTTCATTAGAATGACGTTATTTTCCCTTATAAACAATATTAAAATCTTACACTATTAACTGCTATGCTAAACTTAAAATCCTTAGCACCCGCTATTTATGACTCAAATAAGAAAAAAATAACTACAAAATAAATTCTAAGTTCAAGCAAGGTCAACAAAAATTCTTCTGGACTCAAATTTTGAATCTTCTAAATTAAAGTCACTACAACTCAAATCAGAAAAAAATATTGAATGCTGCTCACAGCAAATGTGTAAATGCTATATATTAGTACACATACATACTACATAATCATACAGAGCATGCTGCTATAAATAGATCACACAACAAAATGACCTTGACCTACATTCAATAACCTTCACCTTTAATATTCATCTTTGTCATTCTCTTTATCATAATCATCATCATACTCTGAAATTATTTAGAATAACAGTACATTCATGTGAACAGAAAACACATAGTACATTGATGTGAACAAAAAACATATAGTACATTCATGACAATGTAGAACACAGTCATAGTACATTCATGTGAACACAGATCACATAATACATTCATGTGAACACAGATCACACAGTACATTCATGTGAACACAGATCACACAGTACATTCATGTGAACACAGATCACATAGTATATTCATGTGAACACAGATCACATAATACATTCATGTGAACACAGATCACATAATACATTCATGTGAACACAGATCACACAGTACATTCATGTGAACACAGATCACATAGTATATTCATGTGAACACAGATCACATAATACATTCATGTGAACACAGATCACATAATACATTCATGTGAACACAGATCACATAGTACATTCATGTGAACACAGATCAAATAGTATATTCATGTGAACAGAAAACACATAGTACATTCATATGAACAAACACATGTAGTACATTCATGTGAAGAGAACACATAGTACATTCATGTGAAGAGAACACATAGTACATGCATGTAAAGAAAACATATGGTACCAGTACATTAAAGTGAACAGAGAACACACAGTACAATTTTATAAACACACATACTGATCATAAACAGAACAGAACAAATTTAAATATTTTTCATCACAGTATCATGTTTACATACATATCATGCTAAAATCATCAATATGTGGCACATGTTATTATCAAGGAATCAATAAAACAGTTGTTAGTTGACCTTTAACCCTTATCTTTGCATAAACAACAGTAAACAGGGTGATTTTGGTTTAGTGCCAGTTTGGAAGAACATAATATTATCAACCTAGTTTTGTTACCATGTTAAAACTGCTTTCTCTGAAAATATTACTTCTATTATCTCTACATTACATTCTTTAAAAGACCGATTCCATTTTAGCCCCAGATATCTTTGATTAGAAGATGCCCGTCAGTAACTAAGATGCCCCACAGTAACTAAAGTCTTCTTGTCTGTTTTCATTGGCACTTACAGCCCCAAACATTTCACTTTTACAGCTATTGACTTTCCAAACCATAGTCTTTTTTCATATACACGGAAACAAGCACTTGCTTAACAACAGTCAATGCACATTCAACTTGCTTGCAGAATATCCTAGGGGCCACTAAACTTAGAAACCATCTAAATAAGCTCTGAGTAGGGTATCACGTTTAGACATACTGTCTTTAATCATGCATTTAGACTTAACTTCGTAAGTTCTGAAACAGTGGACCTTTCACTCATGTACTACATGTATATAGCTATTTTGGACATCAACATTCATGTGCCAACAGCTAAGTATTAAAAACAAAATTGGAAATATATGGTATCATATGTCTTTTTTTCTAACATACCATCAACTTAACCATTTTTACAGGCACCAATACTTTATTGAATTTCTGGTTTAAACACACCTTTTATCCTATGTATATGTTATTCTCATTGACCTGTATATATGTATTTTAGAACATTGACATTCTTACGTATATATATGTCATGCATGCATCATCTAAGCCAATTATTGAGTTATAAAGTTACCATATAATTAGTCCTGATTGTTATTAATTCCTATAAAATCCTGAAACAAATCATGTAACTGTAAACTTTCAGTTTTTATCATTTGTCATTAAAATTCCATTACTTTTTACATTGTACACCGTTCAACTACAATTTTATACCCTATTTTTCTTGGATCGTTTCGGTATTAATTCCTGTTAGAAGAATATTTTATTTGGATTTTAAATACACTAAAAATCAAAGCAGTATCTAAGATACCTTAAATCGATATAGTTTATGTAATATTATTTGTATAAATAATACAATCTTAAATCGTTACAATTTATGAAATATGATTTGTATGAATAATACAAAAATCTTAAAGGGACTCCACTAAGTTTCTTTGATGTGACAAGGGTGGAAGTTATTTTTCAAGATTCATGTTCCATTTGATGTAACCAATAGCTTGTGAACAAAATTTCAGATCAATCGCTCACTCAGTTTTTTCTGAAATAATTATTGTGATGGTGAAAAATGACCAAACATGAACATAGACCAAAATTTGAAAAGGGTTGCAACACTTTTCACTCCAATCTGGCTAAGAATAGCACAAAAATATGACGTTCAATTTATTTTTGAGTATATTTCTTGCAGTTTTAAGTGCCCCAGCTGATCTATATAAGGAATTACACTTCTTATTTTTTGAAGCTTTTGAACTTCAGTGGAGTTCCTTTAAATTATAATAATTTATGTAAAATTATTTGTATAAAAAATACAATGTCCTGAATGACTGAATGGAATTGAGCCATGACAGATAGAGAGAATCAGTCACATGTTGGACTTTAAACTACATTAAAGCAAACAATTTACTAAATGGTTTGTCATTAATAAAGTTATGACATCAAACTTTAGTGAATATATATCATACATATATTTCCCATTCTATTTAAAAGATCACACTTGCAAGTATAAATATATATTTTACTGATACACACAAACCAAAACTTACAACAAATCTAACATGACATATAGTTCAACTAATTAATTTAATGTTTTACCCCTTATCCTGCTGAATTGCTTCAGTGGAATGGTTCAGCTTCCATTTATGGAACTGTCCATTTTTTAATTTTGGGGATATCAAGATGGACATTAAAAGTTAGTCAGTCAACAGTATATAGCCTAGTCAGACTGGACGGATATGCTGGCTTGCCTCATCAGTTCCAGCAGGTTAAGGGTTAAAATGAAACTTTATAAAATTCAATTTCAAATATTTATCACAATTAAATCAAATGAAGTTACATTTGCTCGTTTTCTTTTAAATGATTACTGCATATTTTACAGTATTGTGGGCAATATCAGCAATGTTCCTTTTTTAATTATTTTTAGAGTTGGGTTTAAGTCGCATCTACACTGAAAAGGTCATATGGCAACTTGACAGCTTATTAATGACTAAGACCTCAGGGTCTCCTCAGTGCATTATTTCATACACCTGAAAGCTAGCTGGACAGTTTCCTCACTTGGCGGGATTCCAAGGGTTGAGGGTCAAGTTTCTCAAGTCAAAGACCTTTACCACTAAGTCACAGACACTCCTATTTAATTCTGTACCACTACTGACCAGTCGTTTCTCAAAAGTAACTTCTAATTTCTTTTCTTTAAATCACTCCAAACAGCAGTGGATGACAAAATGGCATTTCATATCAATCCAATACAGTGTATCATAGAAAAAATATGTTGCATAGAAAAATGAATAGTCCTAAAGCAACAGACAATAGGCAACAAGCCTCTTAACTACTAGTTTGTTATTAACATGATATAGTTACATACCATCATCATTATCCTCGTCAGCCATTCCTCCAGCACCTAGTCTACCCTCGTTCCTGTTATCTTCCTATACAGATGATAAAATGTAGAAAACATACATTGATATTATCAAATCAAAACAGAATATTACATCTGATATAATGTACTTATTATTATGAAAATATATATAATTTGCTAAAGATTCAGTTATGTTTGTTCAATACTCCAAAGTATTTTTTTTTTCAGTGACACCACTATTATGTAATAGTCATATGGTAAAATTTCAGTTTTACTGTCAGAGGACTATCTCAGGTGCTCCTCCATGAAACTTCCATATGATAAAATGGCTGGTTTCTACAAATGTTATCATTATTTAGTTTAAACTATTATATCTTAGTTTGAATGTGTTGGAAACTATAAGCTTATTGAAACACTGTCAAATCCATTCCTGGAACCAACCAGTACTAAACAAGGAGAGTAATGTTTCTAGCTCACAGACACAACGGCTTGCCCCTGATGGGGTTTGGACACATGTGGCCAGCAATCCTATATTTAACTAGTCAGAAGCGTTAAGCACTCAGTCACGCCGCCATTATTAACAGATCCTGGCAGCATTCAATTGTACAGCAGTGGCTGGAATGTCATTTGACATCAATACAACATAGCAATGCTAATGATATGTTCTTAACCATATGTAACAATAAACAAGTCATTTATGTATTTCTTTATAAGCTAATAATTTCCTTGATTAGATTTGCTGCAATGTTGCTAGAGGGCGAGTAATGTTGTAAAAGGGCAAGGCAGATGATGCTAGAGGGTGTGAGGGATGTTGCTAGATGGGATGGGGGATTTGATAGAGTGGACGCATGTTGCTTTAGGGACTAGGAGATGTTGCATATTTCATATAACATATAACAGAATCAATAAATCAAAATCTGGATAAATCGCTCTCCAGGGATTTCCCTTTTAAAGATTTTTTTTTTCATCAAAACTAAAATCTCAAGTCCAATTATTATTTATTAACCTGATTGTTGCCTTTTCCTATTGGAATGTCCAGCTGTTCTTGTCTATGACTGTCATCTACAGGGACGACTGGTTGTATCTGATTGTCAGGTATAGGTATATGAGGCCGGAAACGTAACTCATCATCCTTTAATAACTTGTTTTTATCTGAATCACCATGTAAGTTTGGTTCCTGTACCTGTAATAATATATAACATTTCATCACCATTCTTTTTCTTTGAATTATTATTGATAAACCCTTACCACCCTTACCACAATAAATATCTTAATAGACCAGTTCATCTATTAACCCCATTCAAAATTAAAAGGGCAAATTTTCAAAATAAGTACCAACTGAATGGAGAACTATGTAGACCATGGTAAGACAGCATTAATGTGCGAATCTTGATCAGTAGATTCTGCTGCCATTAGTCATTTTGTCACTTATATTTGACAATTTATCAAATTTACCACTAAAGGGATAACCTTAATATATGATTTGTTGCATTTCTTCTGGAACATAAATCCAATGAAATCAATATATACTAGATTTAAATGCTATGCTGAATGGCCAAAAATTTAGAGGTAAAAATATGGGTACCGTGAGGTCTTATGTATTATTGTTTCATCCTCTAAATTAAACATCACAAATAAAAAAGCTTATAGGAACTCCAATGAGGTCAAAAAGCCATAAAACATAAAATTTAAATTTCATACATAGATCAGCTGGGGGGGGGGGGGGGGGGGCACTTATGCAGATATGCATAAGATATTTAAGAAAAATATATCAGAATAATTTGAAAATCGTATGTTTGTGCTATTTTAGCCTAATTTTGAATGAAAAGCATTGTAATGCTTTTCAATTTTTGATAATTTTGCACATTAAGAATAATTATTCTGGAAAAACGAAGTGGGCAACTGATCTGAAATTTTGCACATAAGTTATTGATCTAGACCTTTATCAAATGGATTATTAATCTTTATAAAATATTTCCAGTCCGATCATGTCAAAAAAACCTCAGTGGAGTCCCTTTTAGATAATGGGAAGATAAAACTGATTCTGATATAACACTTGTACTTGTAGACAGTTAAAGACAAAAGCTCTGAACTTTCTGTTTTTTAAAAGAAACTTATAATATCCTGTATTTTACTTAGGACCTGTGCAGTATATGAAAGATATTACCTCCATCTATTTCCATTTAATATTACATCACTGTATTATCAAAGGAACTCCAGTGAGTCTTTTTGACTTGATCGGTCTTGAAATATTAAAGAATTGCACAGAAAATCACTTTTCAATTAAATTCTGATCACTTTTTTCCATTATTCTTTTCAGATTTTTCCTCTTTAATTGCTTCCTTTGACTAATATAAAACTTTTACAATTCTATTTTTATAGGCTTTTTTGACCTCAGTGGAGCTCCTTTAAGAGAACAAAATAAAATCTTTAAATTTTCGGACATTTTACTCACCTGTAAATTAACTGGCCCCTGGTTTTCTATTCTATTGTCATGGTTACCATCACCCCCATGAACTTTAGTATCAATATCCTTGCTGCCCAGGTGATTATCTATAGGCTCATGATCTAAGTTAGGTCTTCCTATCTGATGCTGTTCTTGCTGAATACCATGACCATCCTTATTGAATAAGAATAAAAAGCAGGTTTTACAAATCATTATTACACGGAACAAAAGCAGTCTGTAAGGTAGAGTACTTGATTATCTCAGTTTTTCAGCATTTGTTTTGTTTGGTTTTAGGGCACAATAACTCAATTTAAGTCATATGGTGCCAAGACAGGGAAGATGATTTTGTTAACCTCAAATGTTAATATTTGCTTAATGACTTAGGTCAAACCAGCCCACCTGCTGGAGCTAAGAGATGCATAGACTCCAGTAATTTGATCCCATTTAGCCGCCTCTTGCGGTCATGCAGGGATAAAGGGTGGCTCAACCCTTAAAAGCAACCCCTTAGCCAGAAGGAGGAGCACCTCAGGGCTTAAGCACTTGACTATGATTCTCAGTGCTTGACAGAAAGAAAAGGCACATAACTCTGTAAAAAGGTAACTCATGTTATAGGACACGTGTCTTGCATGTTACATAATCAAAGTGAACAAGTGTGTGAAGTTTCAACCTATTCTCTTCAGCAGTTGTGAAGATACAAACAGGCAGACAAAAATTTACCAAAGAGTGTTGCAAACACCATGTAAGTACACTATTTCTCACATAGTCAAGTTTTAAACCAGTGATACACAAACACAGAACAATATACTAACCAAAATAAAATTTGCTTAGGAAATTGTAAGCTAGTACATATAATTATATAGACCCTTTCATTTAAGCGATAACAGTCAGGGAAGAGTTACTTCCCTTACGTGGATGTGACGTAAATGGGGGATAAAACTGGATTTAACTCAATACAGGATTGGAGCAGTACCTCTGGACGCTTGCAGAAATCATGATCACAAAATAGACAAATACCGTTTTTTCGTCGATTTTTACATTTTTCAGTCATTATCATATATAAAGCGGTGTGAAAAGATGAATTAGACCTATTAAAGTTCATTCCGTTGGGTGAAAAGGCTCTTGCATTTTATTTTTAGCATTTTATGATTCAATCGCCTTGCCCGGTATATACCGGAATACGGTATTTAGTGTGGTGCTCCAATCCTTTTATTAGTCTCACTCGATAAAACTATGCATGCCGCATAGAAAGTTAGCATATTGAAAAGTTAAATGCGTAAATACTGATCGTTCAATTATGATTATAACAAGTAAAAATTTACGCATACATACATAAATTCAATATCAAGACAATAGAAAAAATACAAAAACAAAGATTGAGATTAATTTTCGTTACCACGGATTTATAAATCCTTTTCGCTACGGAGTGAAACAGCGAAATTTCAAAGTGAATATATTTATTAGATCTAGATTTTCTCAAATGCCAGGATAAAAAGCTAGTAACTAAATCAAATTTTAATATTTTATAAACACCCATACACACTGAAATTGCCTATTATAAATTTAAATGGCCATTTTCTAGTTTTCTGTGTTATTTTCTGTCATTTAGAAAATTCCGGCGTATTTGTGACAAACCTGAAAATAAGATTGCCAATGTCTTTTAATGATTGTTTTTCAAGCTTTAATAGAACAATAACAGAATGCATTCTGCAATACTTACTGATTCTTTTTCATTAAGCCGTATAAAAAATATTTCAGAGAACCAGTGAAGAATATAATTTTATAAATATTCCGGAAAGAACGAAAACCATGTGGCATTGACTTTTATAATTTTAGATTCGCAACAGACGATAATAAGATAATTTTGATATTAAAAATCTATTCTTTAAAACCTTTTCCCAGTAACTTATTTCATAGATAAACAGATGTGTATATATAAGCGCCACTGGGCCGTAACATATTAATTAACATATGTTGTATATACAAGCAGTTGTCAAAATATTTATGGTCTGAATTTTGTTATGGATCATCCTAGGGACTTTATTGGTCATGCCTTACTGATTTGATACTCGGTCCAGAGTCCTACCAACTTTCACAGTCAAAAATACGTAAAATTATAATTAAATTAATAATGAATTTCTGGCAATGTGTTTCACAACTTGTTTTTGTTTTTTGTGTGATTTTTTTAAATATTTGATAAGCAGAGTATGAATTAACAAGAGCTGTCGGTAGGACAGCAACGCTGGACTATTCTTAGTGCTGGATAGTAAAAAAAAATGCTTGATACAGTTACCTCCTCCTGTTTACAGGTTGGGGTAATGATGGTGAACAAGTGTGCAAAGTTTCAAATCCATATGTCAATGAACTTTGAAAATATTTGAGGTATTACAAAAACTTTAACATAAATTCTAAGTCGAAAAAGGGGAATAATTCTGTCCAAATGCTTGATAGAGTTACCTCCTCCTGTCTACAGGTTGGGGTCATGATGGTGAACAAGTGTGCAAAGTTTCAAAGCCATATAACAATGGACTTGGAAAATATTTTAACTATAACAACAAGAGCTGTCGGTAGGACAGCAACGCTCGACTATTCTTAGTGCTTGATAGTAAAAAAAAATGCTTGATACAGTTACCTCCTCCTGTTTACAGGTTGGGGTCATGATGGTGAACAAGTGTGCAAAGTTTCAAAGCCATATGTCAATGGACTTTGAAAATATTTGAACTATTACAAAAACTTTAACGTAAATTCTAAGTCGAAAAAGGGGCATGATTTTGTCAAAATGCTTGGTAGAGTTACCTCCTCCTGTCTACAGGTTGGGGTTATGATGATGAACAAGTGTGCAAAGTTTCAAAGCCATATGTCAATGGACTTTGAAAATATTTGAACTATTACAAAAACTTTAACGTAAATTCTAAGTCGAAAAAGGGGCATAATTCTGTCAAAATGCTTGACAGAGTTACCTCCTCCTGTCTACAGGTTGGGGTCATGATGGTGAACAAGTGTGCAAAGTTTAAAAGCCATATGTCAATGGACTTTGAAAATATTTGAACTATTACAAAAACTTTAACATAAGTGGTTACGCCGACGCAGACGCTGACGCCGACGCTCGGGTGACTACAATAGCTCTACTTATTCTTATCGAATAGTCGAGCTAAAAACTTTAACATAAGTGGTTACGCCGACGCAGACGCCGACACTGACACCGACGCTCGGGTGACTGCAATAGCTCTACTTATTCTTATCGAATAGTCGAGCTAAAAAGTATCAAGTTGAAAATATTACTTAACCAGCTTAAATATATTGGTGTGATGTACGATTTTTTGAGAGTGCGTTTTTTGCCGACACAATTATTATACAGTCATGTACATTCAAAAGAATTTTTACTTTTTATGCCTTTACATTTTTTTTTTTTTTGAAATTACATAGATTCATAGTTTTCTTTTCTTTGTCTTAGTAATGCTTAAATCAAAAGGATTTTTAATAAACCAGTATCTTGCAATTAATTATTACGCAGCCGTTTTTCGAAACTACAGAATCCTTACATTTTTGAAACTCAAAATATCTTTTGGGTATTGTATATTAGCAGAGACATAGATACATTATCTGTATCTCTGGTTTTAGCAAGTTAGTACGATTTAACTGCCTGGTAAAATTTTCATTATTAAGAATCTAACGAAAATGGTAATCATGATCAGTTACCCAGGAATATGGTCTACAATAAAAACAAATTGTTAACCATATTAAATAGTAAACATATTTATTCATTTCACCATCCTTTTTATGTAATATCTTATTCAATTACATAAAATTTTGGCAATTTCAATCTGCCAATCTTATTAAAAAGAGAAAGGATAAAGATCTTTATATCCCTCTTGTATCGGCATTGTCCACCATATCCCCCAATGACATCAACTTGAATACGGTCTTAAATAAAAGGGTCTATATATTTATATATATATATTTATTTTTAAAAGACCACAATAAATAGATCTGGTACCTGTCCCAGCATAGACTGTCCATGCTTCTGATGACCTAGATCACCTTGATCCATGTCACCATGACGCATATTAGAATTATCATGATCACCAGCTCCGCCTCCAGGGGGGATAATCTGATGTTGTTTCTGCTGCTGTTCCAGTAAATCAGCATCCACAGGTTTATGTTTGTCTTGTAAACTTTTCATTATATCATCGGCTATATTAAAATTCTGAAGTAATAAACAATAGTTCATGTTATTACCTAATGCCTTCTATGAATACTAATTCCTTATTTACAACAGTTTAACTGAACCGCTTAAAATCCTGTGCATGGGCAGTGATGAAATTAACTGTAGTTAATGGTCAACATTTTTAACTGTTTCAACCCTGTCATTGGGTATTTTATATTAATGTCATCCGCCACTTATCGGTAATCAAAGGTAGTTATTGTTCTTGAACACAGCACTTCCTCCCAATGTGCTCTGCCAGAGTATAAAGTTCACTCAAGCAATTTTTTGATGTGTGCTCCAGACAAAATTGGAACATCTGCACAGATGTATGGATGAAGACCATTTCTAATATCCCCTTCGCCTTTTGGGGGGGGGGATAAAAACAGGAACAGTTTATAACATAGGTATGGGTAAACTTGTTTAGTTTAAGACATGTAAATATTACCTCAGGGTTATCTCCCATTTTGGCAGCATTTCCAGCCTGCTGACCTATTATATTAGGATTCTACAAAAAATAAAGTAGATGATAAAATATATACAGTATACTTAACAAATAATTATTGATCTTTTTCCAAAACTAAACAAGAGCCACAGTCAGGCGGGGCAATGCTTTTTTTTATTTTTTCTAAAAGGCAAGCAAATAAAAGGTTTAATGAAAAATCTTTAACTTTTTATCTTAATTTCAATACACAAAAGTATGAATCATTCCCATAATGTTCAATGATCAATTTTACATCTAAAATTATACACATGATCCAAATGTCATAGCTGTACATCAAAGAACAAGAATAGGTCATTCCTCAAATTATCTTGGTCATCCGATATTAAGTTCAATATTACATCTAAAATTGTGCACAAAGTCCAAATTTCATAGCTGTATATTAAAAGACACTTCATCAACACATCTAGGTCAGCTGATATCAAAGTTCTAAAGTAGGTCACTGTGTCAAAAACAAGGTAAGCTAATATTGAAGTTGAATTATACATGTTAATTCTGAATGTATCTTGGTATAATACTCACAAACCTTATATGTATCTTGATCATGATATATCTAATGTGATTAATAATTGAAATGTAAATAACACTTACAAGTCCACCTGCTCCCCCATGTATAAGGTTGCCTAGTACATTATTGTTGTTATTGTTTGGTAAAATATTTTGCTGGATTCCATGTACACCTCCTTGACCATGGTTCAAACCTTGTCCCATGAACACACCCTGTGGTTGCTGCTGTTGATTATTCTGATTGAACCCAGCACCTGTAAAATAAATGTTTGCCTCAATTATCAAATTCATATATATTTTTGATAAAAAGTGATAATTTCCTTGCATTTTATATGAAAGCCTAGAATAACTAGCATGCTTAGGATTCATTCAGATTTTTTTCTTCAAAGAAAATTTATGTTTTAAACTTAAGTTAACAAAAGTTAACCCAAGGTGGGAGATGTAGATTGGCAATCATAGCTATAGCAGTGTGTGTAACATGTCATACACTATACATGTATTTACTTCTACCCAATTTTCATGATGAAAACCGTTAAGATTTTAACCTCCAGCTTGCATATTTCCACCTTGTAAATTCATTCCCTGTTGTTGCTGCCCAACTCCCTGTAAGTTTGCCCCTTGTTGGCCCCCAATATTCTGTTGTTGTTGTTGTTGTTGCTGCTGCTGTTGTTGTTGTAACTGTTGGTATTGTTGCTCAATCTGTTGTTGTTTTGCTTGAGCTTGCTGAACAAGATTCTGTAATAAATCAAACATAATAATTATTCTACTGATTATAACTGTTCAATGTGTACTTGTCTTGAGTGAATATGCAAAATATCTCAATAAGACATGATTCTTTTTATTCCTTCAATACTTTCAGAATTCAAAGAGCTCATAAAAACAAGTATTTCTTGACTTTGATAATAAGGTAAAACACAATGTCTATACGCACCTAACAAATTTTCATAAATATTTATAAAAAAAAAACTCTTTGAAAAAAAAATGAGTACTTATATTTCAACTATAAAAATTCATGTATCAACATGGAAAACAACATTGAATGTTAACAATGATTAAAAACCTATCACTTATATATATCCATTACAAATAATCAGTCACCTTTCTAGCAGTGCTGAAGTTTCCTTCACTTGTTAATTTCCACTTCCCTTCTTATTTCCATGCTCAATACAATATTTACTCACTAACTTATTAACTAATTAATAAGTCAACTATATGATAATAAGTGTAACCTATGTCCCTCACAATAACCTCACATGAAAGCCATGCATTTTTTGCAAACATATTCAGCACCTGCTCTCAGTATATTATAAATATCTGAGAGCATAATCACTATGTCTGCTCTGACCTAACAACAACACATGAATTTTAGAAACATTCTAAGTACTGCCACAATATCCTTAAACATCTATATGCATTATAAATTCAAACTGACCAAATGGCCACTCTAAGCATTTACTTTATGATTGCATTAAATACAAATGACAGCTTAAAGAGCATTTTCAAAGCATTCTCCAAAATTTCTCCAGTCTTTAGGTATCCCTATTTATGATTGCACTTAAATTGACTCTGCAATAAAGATAGGCTAATATTTCTCCTGCTTGACACAGCCCCATTATAAACTCTTTCCTACATTTCAACATGCACACAGCCCCTTTATAAACCTTTTCCTGAATTTCAACATGGGCACAGCCCCTCTATAAACCTTTCCTGAATTTCAACATGGGCACAGCCCCTCTATAAACCCTTTCCTGAATTTCAACATGGACACAACCCCTCTATAAACATTTTCCTGCATTTCAACGTCGGCACAGCCACTCAATAAACCTTTTCCTGCATTTCTACATGGGCACAGCCCCTCAATAAACCTTTTCCTGAATTTAAACATGGACACAGCCCCTCCCTAAACCTTTCATTGAATTTCAACATGGACACAGCCCCTCTATAAACCTTTCCTGAATTTCAACATGGACACAGCCCCTCCATAAACCTTTTCCTGAATTTCAACATGGACACAGCCCCTCATTAAACCTTTCATTGAATTTCAACACGGACACAACCCTTCTATAAACTTTTTCCTGAATTTCAACATTGACACAGCCCCTCTATAAACCTTTCCTGAATTTCAACATGGACACAGCCCCTCCTAAAACCTTTCACTGAATTTCAACATGAACACAGCCCCTCTATAAACCTTTCCTGAATTTCAACATGGACACAGCCCCTCTATAAACCCTTTCCTGAATTTCAACATGGACACAGCCCCTCCTTAAACCTTTCATTGAATTTCAACATGGACACAGCCCCTCTATAAACCATTTCCTGAATTTCAACATGGACACAACCCCTCTATAAACCTTTCCTAATTTCAACATGGACACATCCCCTCTATAAACCTTTCCTGAATTTCAATATGAACTTCATAAATTTATCAACTTTTGTTGGATTCTTAAAATCATACCAACACTGTGAAGGTCATTATGGCAACTTGTAAGTTTTGCAGAGGACAACATCTCCTATATGTGTAAATCAACAGTGCTTCTAGGGATCAGCCATTTTCCAGATTTGTATATGAAACATATGTAAACCAACCATCACTCCCTTTTTATTTATATAAAATTAACAAAATCATTTGCAGTTAACTAATTAAAAATCATAAAAGATAACCTGCAGAAAGAATACTGGCAATTACTAAAACCTAACATTCAATCAGTGAAAACACCAGTAAGGCTATCTCAAATATTTTTATATTACAGGTGGGTTGCTTGGAGGTGAGAGGGGGGTAGATGCAGTCGTAAGTGCACATGTGAAGGTTGAGGTATTTAATAACACTCTCTTTCTCAAAGTTATAACAATCATAATTATAATATATACAGCTAAAGCTGTCAATAATGTGACCATATGTGGTTCACAAACAATAGTCTTTGCAGCCATATGGTCTCATTTAACAAATAGCATTATATTTATTATTATTATTATAGGTAAAGGTTTGATTTCTTTGTTTTGTTGGATTTTTCTTTGAGTGACACCAACACTGTAAATGTTGGATGGTGTATTTACAGATTTACTCAGTGAGGTGGTATCATACAGTATTTTAGGCATAAATGGTTAGCTGAGTAGAACCACAGACACATAATGAAGTCATAGACCTAAATCATTGTCATTTGACCAAAGTATATTTTTTTTGTTAATATCATTTAAATGATTTCAATGTTTTTATCATTAATGTAACTGTTATTATAATCACTTTTATCAGGGTGATATGTTAAATATCTAACTGACAGTGATACATCTGCAATCCCCACATATAACACACAATAGTCAATAGGTACACTTTTCTTTAGTAGCAACAACTTCTCTCCAATGTTAATATATACTTATTTTGTTTAATAATCTATATTAAATTTCTTTCTTTCTTTCCCATGTATATTCAGCAAAATATCCAGCAATGTAACAAAACATCAATTTGTTAAGCAATGTGCATGTCTTAGATATGTATGTGGCTTTCTGTACACAAAGCAATATGGGATATGACTATCTACATAGCAATAGTAACCAAGCAACCAGGTTAGAATGGATGAAAGGCAAAGTTAATCTATCACACCTGGGCATAGTTAAGGAGACCCTGATTTCTCTGAATAGTAAGTCGATCTGTCTGAAGTTGGCTCTACAGTAAATAAACCAATCAAAATTTGTTTAATATTCAAAGATTCATTCTTCCACCAATCAAAAAGTGTTTAACAATTATGTTTCATTCTTTTTTGAACCAAAAAATAAAAATTTGAATGATATTTCTGGATCCTTTGTGCCTATCAAAAGTTTAGTAATATACTAGTACATGTATTTAGCATTACAAACAAATCAAAAGTTCATAAATGCAATATTACATAACATAAACAATTTAAACCAATCAAAACTTGTTTTACATTCTGAGCTTCAATTGCTTACTAATCAAAACCATGTTAACATAATAAGAAATATACTTCACTGACAATCTTATAACAACATTACAATCTTATTTTGCATTTTAATAATTATTCTTTCTTGTGAAAAATACTGGAAAATAAAATTTCTGCAGGAAATTCTGCTTAAAAGTATTACAAGTTATTTGAATCTGCATTTCTCAAGTTAAACTTCCTAAATTTGAGGCTGAAAAATTTGCTTTCTAGCACTGCTGTCTCCTTCATCACATATTCTTGAGCAGAAATTAAACATTATATTATAACATATATACATATATTTGAGCCAAGTAGAGAGAGCATGCTTGAATAATGAACAATAAACGTGCATTTTGTTCTCCTCAAAAAATACACTGCATACATTATAAGGCCAAAAGAAATAATTCCTCAAATTAACGTTCCAAATTTAAATTTAGAAAATAATTTTGTGTAAACTGTCTTGGGTTTCAAAAAATTTCACAAAAAAATAAAATTAATTAAAAAAAAATAATTCCGCCAAAACCTGCTGAATTTGAGTGAAGTATTTGCCCTTTTTTTAATTTGATACAGCAGATTAGAACTTTAAGAGATTTCAATATTGAAATTGAAAAAATTGAGCTACCCAAACATAGTGCTTGGTCAGACTGCACAGACATATGCGCTGGCTTGGCTTTATTGTTTTCTCCCATTGTTTTCTCGTTCAGGGCACACACATTTTTTCACTTGGGGACCATATGCCACTTTTTATGGAATGGCACCATAACGTGTCACACTGAAGGTTCCATGATAACCGCCATTATAATGAACACATCTGCGGATGTTTCAAAATTCCAAATTTTACCAGTTCATGTTAAATGTTGAATACTGCTTAAGCCTGTGCTAGGGGGGCGTGGACGGTAATTTGCACTTACCAGTACCGTCCATGAACTGGTTTGATCAAAAATCAACATTTTCAATTTTGCTGTGTTGGGCTTTCTTTAGAGATTCTTATTTCCCTCAATTTTATGCTGGTGGCAAAAGCTAATCACTCTTCATTCCAGCAGGTTATTGGTGAAACTGAATAATAATTTTCATAGTCATCTTTTAAAACCCAAGACATTTCTTCTTAAACTTTCCTGATAGACTGTTAAACTGATTGTTCTTCATATATCTGAAAATTCTTACTCAAATGACCTGTATGATCAATTAGTCTTTAAAAAATACACAGATATCACTATGTTAAAGCATTTATCAACAATTACCATGAAATTATTTTCTATTGGCCTTAATATACAATCAAACCTAGAGGAAAGAATATTAAGAAGGAAAACTCTAAGACAGAGGAAATGTGCATTATATATAAGAATGTGTACTGTTTTTGTCACCTCGGTTTTGGATCCCTGGTAGAGAAGAAATAGTTAGACATTAAAAACAAGAAGCAATAAGTTTATAAATTGATAAATTTACAGCTATATAGATAACAACAATAGGTAAGAATGAGTATCCGTCTTCACACAGCATAACAATGAACAAGTTTAAACAAAAATACTGTACTGGAAAAAATGAATGGTGAAAACATGAAATTTTTGTATAAAATAAAATATTGAATATATGCCAGGTAAAGTTCACATACAAAATCAGATTATATGAAAGGTTGGTTAGTGTACTTAATCTCAATGTATATTGTACTATGCCTAATGACTGTAGTATGCCCCATTACTGTTCTTTGCCAGCATTACTGTAGTATGCCATAATTACTGCACTATGCTCCCATTACTGTACTATGACTATGCCCCCATTACTGTACTATAACTATGTCCCCAATACTGTACTATGACTATGCCCCCATTACTGTACTATGACTATGTCCCCATTACTGTACTATGACTATGTCCCCATAACTGTACTATGACTATGCCCCCATACTGTACTATAACTATGTCCCCATAACTGTACTATGACTATGTCCCCATTACTGTACTATGACTATGCCCCCATTACTGTACTATGACTATGTCCCCATAACTGTACTATGACTATGCCCCCATTACTGTACTATGACTATGTCCCCATTACTGTACTATGACTATGTCCCATAACTGTACTATGACTATGCCCCCATAACTGTACTATGACTATGCCCCCATTACTGTACTATGACTATGTCCCCATTACTGTACTATGACTATGCCCCCATTACTGTACTATGACTATGTCCCCATTACTGTACTATGACTATGTCCCCATAAACTGTACTATGACTATGCCCCCATTACTGTACTATGACTATGTCCCCATTACTGTACTATGACTATGCCCCCATTACTGTACTATGACTATGCCCCCATTACTGTACTATGACTATGCCCCATTACTGTACTATGACTATGCCCCCATTACTGTACTATGACTATGTCCCCATTACTCTATGTCCCCATAACTGTACTATGACTATGTCCCCATAACTGTACTATGACTATGTCCCCATAACTGTACTATGACTATGTCCCCATTACTGTACTATGACTATGCCCCCATTACTGTACTATGACTATGTCCCCATAACTGTACTATGACTATGTCCCATAACTGTACTATGACTATGTCCCCATAACTGTACTATGACTATGTCCCCATAACTGTACTATGACTATGCCCCATTACTGTACTATGACTATGCCCCCAATACTGTACTATGACTATGTCCCCATAACTGTACTATGACTATGCCCCATAACTGTACTATGACTATGCCCCCATTACTGTACTATGACTATGCCCCCATTACTGTACTATGACTATGCCCCCATTACTGTACTATGACTATGTCCCCATAACTGTACTATGACTATGTCCCCATAACTGTACTATGACTATGCCCCCATTACTGTACTATGACCATGCCCCCATTACTGTACTATGACCATGCCCCCATTACTGTACTATGACCATGCCCCCATTACTGTACTATGACCATGCCCCCATTACTGTACTATGACTATGTCCCCATTACTGTACTATGACTATGCCCCATTACTGTACTATGACTATGCCCCCATTACTGTACTATGACTATGCCCCCATTACTGTACTATGACTATGCCCCCATTACTGTACTATGACTATGCCCCATTACTGTACTATGACTATGCCCCCATTACTGTACTATGACTATGCCCCCATTACTGTACTATGACTATGCCCCCATTACTGTACTATGACTATGCCCCCATTACTGTACTATGACTATGTCCCCATAACTGTACTATGACTATGTCCCCATAACTGTACTATGACTATGTCCCCATTACTGTACTATGACTATGCCCCCATAACTGTACTATGACCATGCCCCATTACTGTACTATGACTATGCCCCCATTACTGTACTATGACTATGCCCCCATAACTGTACTATGACTATGCCCCCATTACTGTACTATGACTATGCCCCCATTACTGTACTATGACTATGCCCCCATTACTGTAGTATACTCCCAATAATGCATCACACTCCAAATAATGTAATATGTTCCCATTATTGTACTATTCCCCAAGGATGTACTATGGCCCAATTACTGTACTATGCCCCCTGTAATGTGTATGTGGTATATGATGTCTATATGTATATATCATTTGCGATTTGCTCCTTAGGTGGTTTGTGGTATTTTAACTAGCCAGCCACTTTAAATTCACCTGAGCACAGTTCTGCCACTGCATTATTTATAAGTGTATTGAGATGTTACTTAATCTGTTAAACTTCAAGATGTTAAATGATTGATCAATTCTCTTAAGTTTATACAGAAAGAACAATGAAATTAATTTTTTTTTACCTTTACTGTGCAGACTTAGTGTAACAGACCTGCCCAGCCCCAATGCTCTTAATTTTGGAACAATCAATTATAATTATAAATTCAGAGATTTTACTATAACAAAGTGCAAATAATAATCTGGTTAAAATTATTAAAAGACAATTTGATTTCTAGCTTTCTTTTAACTACTAACTGTATTAAGCAAAGGCAGAGCTTTTAGAGTGATTGTAAAAAAAAAGAATATCTGCATTTTGGAGAAATAATTCACTTCAACCCATGCTAACCACACAATGTTCAATGTGTATTAGAAATAAAGGACTATAAAAAGGGAGAGAATTCTTAGAATAAAATAGAGTTTTCAGGGGTAATAATCGTGGTCTACCTGCTGAGTTTTAACCTCATTCTGTAGTGTAACAATTGTCTCTTTTGCTTTGTTAGCTTCATTCTGTACATACAAAAACAACTCAAATTAAAGGGAGAGAAATATTATCAATGAAGAAAATGTATGATTTATTAGCCCTTTGTTTTCAATCTATAAATAATACTTGTCAAAAAAAATAAGTAATAAACACAAGAGCGATCAGTAACCACATGTGTCGCCTCATGATGGCCAATTTCATGTTGGGACAAATTTTGTGACAGACAGACAAACAGTGCACAACTAGACTTGGTACTGATCATTCCTGTAAAGTTTGGATAAAATTGCACCAGTAGTTTATGAGGAGTAGTCCGGACAAGCTTTTGTGTATCTGGCAACACACAGAAAAAAAACACCTTTTTATCAAAGGGCCATAACTCGGCCAAAAATCATTCAACCGGAAAACCCGTGCAATATGCGCAAGGACTTGAGCTACAGATCAATCCTGTAAAGTTTCATTGAAATTGCATGAGTGGTGTAAGAGAAGTAGTACGGACAAACTTTAAAAATAAAAATTATTAAAGGGCCATAACTCTGACAAAAATCATTAAACCGGAAAATGCTGACAATATGCACAACTAGACTTGGTACTGATCATTCCTGTAAAGTTTGGATGAAATTGCACCAGTAGTTTATGAGGAGTAGTCCGGACAAGTTTTGTGACGGACGGACAGACGGACCACGGAGAAGTGATCCCTATATGTCGCCACTACTCCGTAGAGGCGACACAAAAATTAATGTACTGTAGATAAAAAAAAAAACCAAGGAAATGCATCAGGGATGGCGGTAAGAAAATATTTTTAACCTCTGAAGGAAGGGAGATAACTCTCTTTAAAAAAAAACACAACAAAAAGTACCCATGGAAATTAACACCGATGTAAGCAATCATAAATAAAGGGAGATCAATCTGGATCGACAGCTGAGCAGGGGAGATAATTTTGATGTAGTACCTGTTGTGTTTGAACCTGATTCTGCAATATACCTATACTTTGTTTGGCCTGATTCACTTGATTCTGTACAATCATAAATATAATTATTAAATATAATTGTTGAATTAGCAATCTAATGAGTACTCACTGCATGGGTTCAAACCCAGTCAGTGGTAAGTCATTGTTTCCCTGAGCAATAAACTTAACACTTGTTGCTCAGTACTAGTTGGTTCTAGAACAGTTTTGAAAGTGAGTCTTATATCTTCCTACACAATCAAACTAAAATAAAATTATGTATAAACCAAACATATTTGTTTAATTTAAAACAAAATTTAAAATTTCACTGTGCCTGATCAGGTGATTTAATTTTGTGATCTGGGGCAGAAATTCAATACAAAAGAGGGTAAAGATTTCATTTTCTTATTAAATTAATTTTAATGGAATAAACAATAGAGACTGCCCATAGTAGTGAAGAATCCATATACAGAATGTCTTATGGATTTCTTTTTCTTTTTTTTTTGTTAATCTTTAAACTTTTTAATATGAAACCACATATATATCTGATTGTTCAAATAAGCAGTTTCAATTTCCGTAATATAGTAAATATACCATAGTGATTTTTTATATATAAAAATATAATGCTGAATTTTTTCCTGTAAACATTCTATGTATGTAATACTCACTAGCATGAGCTGGCTTAACACTTTATCCCATAATAATTAATGAAATATTTAAACAGTTATTCTAGGACTGTCTTCTACTTCAGATATTGGCAGGATGTTAAGCTGCTTTGACCTGATCTGCCACTGCTAAGGTTTACAGATGTTTTGTCATCTACTACTCCATGGTACATAATATGATTAACTGTGAATTCAACTAATTTTGTGAGCATGACATTTCTTGGTTTTGTCACAAAGAACGTTTTCGTGGGTTCTTAAATTTGTGGACTTTTTTCTTTCCCAAAAAGTAAAATGTTAATGTTATGCAAAATAATCTTACAGCAGACAAAATGAAATTTCATTGGATCTTAAATTAGTGGATTGACCTATCCAGGAAAACCACAAAATTAGATCCCCACAAATAAAATAATGATTTGGCAGTGTGTCACAATTCATAATATAACCAAATCAATATAACCTTTGTACATTATTTTGACTAGCTCTAAGTTAAAAGTTACATAGCATTACATGAGCTGACATAAAAGCATTAAAGACATAAAATTTTACACATAGTTCAACATTACATTCAACTAGCAACTATTAACTATGCAAGTTCATATAACAGAGGATTCTATCAGAGTAACTATCAAAAGGGTGCATAAAGAATTACAGTCTAGACTGCCTTAGCGACCCCCTGATTTCAACGACTCCCTGTCTTATCCGACCTTGTTTCAGTCCTCCCAACGTATTTTCCTATATAAATGGTCTGAATTAAACGACTCCCTGTCATATGTGACAAGCGACCCTAATTATCTGGTCCCTATGCATTGCTTTGTCTGATTTAAACGACTTTCACACCTTTCAATTGTCCGTTAATCAGATAAATAATACCTGTTTTAACACCCAGAGAGACAAAATAATTAAGTCCAATTATAATCCAGTAGTCAGTACTCTTCAAACAAACTCTACACACCTCGGATTACATGTATATATGCAGGTGTCAAGTGACGTAGGGTCTGGAGTGTCCGTAGCGTCTGATGCAATCGATGTGTGTTAACAAATTGAGGTCACAGGTGAAATGAACATAATGAACTGAGTAAACTGGATTAAGACTTGTGTTTAAAAAAATTATGGAGTGCCAACGGAAGATTTTTTTAGACAGAATTTTTTTTTATTATTTTACCTTTCTATGGCTGCATGGATAATACGGAAAAATGTTGATACCAGACTAATATGGATATGTTTTTAAACGTATGATATTTATTTTAAGGATTTGAATGCATCAAATTCAAGATTATTTTGTACCATAATGATTCAATATTATACTAATACAAAAAATAAAATTAAATTTTATATGATATACATACTATTATATTTGCTTTACAGGGATTCTTATTTTATTTACATCAAATATTTTAAGTACCTATGTGTATTTGCAATTGGTTAGGTATTATTCCTTCACACAGTTATACAGTATATATGTTAAGTCACAATGATATCTAGACAGATAGATGGTATTTAAATTTTAATTTTCTATGAGACTGTATTAAGAGACTCCCTGTCATATGTGACCTTTTTCTCAAGATCCCTTGGAAAGTCACATATGACAGTTTCGACTGTATTAAGAAAAGCTATATTATATCTATTTAACAATCTAATAAATTAAACAAGTACATTATTAGTGTGAGCTTATTGAAGAAAAAAATGTTTTTAAAATTAATGGCATAAAGAAAGAGTAATTTTGAGTTAACTGAACTACCTTTAATTTCAAACTGTAAAAACAAATACCAGTCTGTACAAAATATATTAATTAACATCAAAGCTGTTTTTCACTTTCCCAAATTTTGAAATTTCAATCTGAATATCAAGGTCATGTAACACACCAGGAAGTCATTTCAATGTGTTAAAATACAGGTCCTTTTAAGAGGTATACTTTATATTATAACCCATACCCTGCTAAATATCTTAAATGGACTGGTCTTTTTTTAAAAACCATTCATCACTAATTAACCCTTTACCTCATATATACGCGAAACAACGCACTTTCGACCCCCCCCCCCCCATTTTTTAGGCCTGAAATAGTGATAAAATGTCCTATTTGGGCCCCAAACACATGTTTTCGTTTGAGAAATGTTGCTAAAAAAGTGAGCACTTTTTTGGCCCCACCCCCCATTCAAAAGATACATCAGGGGGTTGCCAGAAGGGGGATGTGCCCCCTTCTGTTTGGGGGGTTTGAAGGGGGGCAGAGTCCACGTCATCGCCAAGAAAATTTTGGACTTGTGAGAGGCTGAAAATGACTCCAGGTCGATCATAAGGTAACGTGTAACCAACGCTGAAAAGCCTTTGACTCTATCTCAATCCCTTGAGAAGTTGCAGCACTTTGAAATAAATTTTGATGGAAAAATCGAGGCAAAATAGTGATTTTTGGCAATTTTGAGACGTCCCCCCTTTGCCATGGTAACAGGAAATTTAAGACTTAGCATGTCCTTACAAAGGCAATGGTCCAGTCAACATTTGTGCCAAGTTTGATTAGTATTGAAGCATTTTTCATAGTTTCATAGCAGTTTGAACTTGTAACAGGAGGCTTTTCACTGAAAACGGCCATTTTTACAATATGCTCATGTGGGAAAGGGTTAAGGAATATTTCAAACTACTTTCTGACTGAACAGCTTATAGAATGACCATATTGCGATGAAAATTAAACTTGTCCGGAAACAAGCAGGTTATAACACATTATCCCCATATCTATTGATCATTGAGGGATGGGGGGTGGGCATAAAATACAATATTGCATACAACAGCTTTCTTTGCAGTATACAGGAACTGTGACACCATGTATTGATCAAGTAGATCTAGTAGATCAATACATAGCCATATTTGAATACTAAAGATGGTACATACACTAGTTAATCTATAAGTTCAAGGATCTGTCTAAGACCTCCATACATACCAGGGTGCCCTGTAACTGTGTCTTGAGCTCTACAACTTGCTGACTTAACTGCTCTTTCTCCCGTTCCAAATTGGCCACAGAATCTAACAAAGAAAGAAGCAAATTATGACACTATATTTTGTGTGAATAACCTATCTAGTTATTGACGTCACTACAACATGAATTATGTTTGTTTACTCTGATTCTTATTAAACCCTGAAAAACTTTTCTATAAACCACAGTGTATTTGCATATTTTTTGGGCTTATTTAAGTTGATAGTAAAAAGAGAGCCTCGATAATATATGAACTATCCAAATTATCCAGTAGGGGAGATAATTCAGTAAGCTCTGTGCTACAGTTATCATAACTGGCCTAGAAAAATGACCTAAAATTATGACATAGTATGAGTTTACATAATATACTGTAGACAGTTGTGAAGACAAAACCTGGAAATTTTCTAAAATTACACAGGTGTAAAATTCAGCTAAAGTAAAGGGTAGATTAATAAAGAATTATAATTATGTCCTGTAAGGTACATTTGAAATTTCAATTGTCAAAAACTCTAGTTTGACTGCAAGTTTTACAACAAGAGCTGTCCGTAAGACAGCGCGCTCGACTTTTTTATTGCTTGCCAATAAAAAAAGTTTTTGCAGTAAAAGGCAATACAAGAATCTCTGTATTTTTAAAGTGAACAATGGCCATGAGCATTAAGATATTTAGTGAAGAATTATTTTACTGAATTGTGTGATACCCTTGAACACTGCAGCCATAATTCAAATAAAATCTTTGACAGAATTACCTTCTCCTGGACATGTTTGGGAATCATGATTGTAAACAAGTATTCCAACTTTCAAATTAATATCTCAAACAGTTCAGTCAAAAAGTGGACTGGTACTAAAAACTTAACCAAGATTGTAAGTCGATAAAAGGCCTTAATTTTTAAAACAAATCCTTGACAGAGTTACCTTCTCTTGCGTACAGATGGGGGTAATGATGTGAAATAGCATTAAAAGTTTCAAAGCAATATCTCAAAGGGTTAAGGCAATAAGTGGATTTTACCCATATTCAATGTATTTTCTAAGTCAAAAAGGGGCATAATTCTGTCAAAAACCTTGACAGAGTTATGTCCTCTTGTCTGTTGATGAAGGTCGTGATGGTAAACAAGTATGGTCAGTTTCAAAGCAATACCTCCAATGGTTTTGAAATAAAGTGAGGTGGTACAAAAAACTTAACCAAGCTCAATACACTTTCTAAGTCAAAAAAGGGCCATAATTCTGTCAAAAACCTTGACAGAGTTATGTACTCTTGTCTGTAGATGGAGGTTATGATGGTGAACAAGTATGGTAAGTTTCAAAGCCATACTTGTAATACTTCTGAAATAAAGTGGGGTGGTACGAAAAACTTAACCAAGGTGTGACGCCAACGCCGACGCCGACGCCGGGGCGAGTAGGATAGCTCCCCTTTTCATAGAAAAGTCGAGCTAAAAATCTATAAATTTAACAGTTTTTATGCATGATTAAAGTGAAACATTTGTCTTTACAAAATCTTGAAATTCTATAAATATTGAACAATTTAATTCAAACTGTTGAGGAAGTTTATGAATAGGGTATGACATCCTGTTAAGACGGATACAATATTTTCATAAAAAAAAAAGAAAAAGATAAATGCATGAGCAGAATAAATAGCATGAAATCAAAATGAACTAAAACATATTTATCAAACTTGTTCATCAAAATCACATCCAACATAGATTTATATACACCTTGAATTAATTTACATACTAAAATCATTCAATTCATATACACATCATATCAATGAATAAAACTCCTCAGTAATTTATTCTGCATAATTAATGTATAATGTTGATTGCTCAAAAATAATAGAGGATCAATTATCTGAGCTAGAATTGTCAGAACATCTCTTCCCTGAATGTCCTATGTCTTATTATTAACCCATGTTATAACTTACTAAAACAAATCTAATTCCAATCATATAAAATTGTCATCAGCTGGAGTCATACAAAGTAGCAGTAACTATGTCTCAAACAGGACTCAAACCAACAGTCCATGCAATTTTGAAGGCAGACACCTTTTTCCTCTTAAGGCTAGCTGTCTTTATGTAACTGACTTGACCTGCTTTGACTTAAGAACAGACTGACTGCTAGATCACATTTTAATTAACATTAAATGTATTATTCAGCTTTAGTCATTTAAAGTAGCAATGGCTAAGCTTTAGACATTTAAAGTAGCAATGGCATGACACTTACAGGACTCAAACAAACAGTCCTTGCATTACAAGGCAGAAACCTAAACTCCTTCCTCAAGGGCTAGCTTAAACTTTATGTAACTGACTCTGGAACAGTTCAATAGTAGGTCAAGGGATTTTGGTATCAAATTACAAAAATTTAACCAAATGATAATTATACAGTCTGGTTAGATAACAATGGAAGCACAATATTAACTGACATAACCATAACTTATCATATAGAGGTTTCATTCCAGCTGTCTGCTGGCACCCATGTGACCAGTGCAGACCAAAACCAGCTGGCACATTTATGCATCATGCAGTCAGTAAAATATTTGGAAATTTTCTTAAATTGAAAACTGGTTTCATCCAGTTTCAATAATGGACAAGTTCCTTTTGGTTGGTCAGGGTTTATTGGTAAGTGTCCATAAGTTTAACTTTAATAATGGACAAGTTCCTTTTGGTTGGTCAGGGTTTATTGGTAAGTGTCCATAAGTTTAACTTTAAAGTTTATGGATTCCTATATCAAAACAGCCAGTGATCCCTATCATATTCAGATAATATGATAGTATACTTATGTAAAACAGCAGTTTAAATCAAGCATTTATGAACTACATCAAATCACCAGCAATCATAATGTTTATAATATTTCACTTGCTGCTTAATCCATTAGCCAACAAGTTATCTAATATCTATATCTGTGATATACATGATAAACAGATTATCGTACATCCTCAAACTCACCCTGCTATTAACTGATATTTGTCTAAGAGTTTCAATTCCTTACTACCTTCTAAACATACTACCAGAAAAAAATTGTTTTGCAGTCATAAAGTCGCCATTATACAGCTATTTCCTTAAGACATTAATATGGCAATCAATATTTTCCCTACCTAGCTACTTTATGATTTAACTGCTTTTCCATATTCTAAATTACCTTCAGAAATGCTAATGAAAGTCAAGAGAGCATTGTTATTTGTTATAGTGAATTTGCCTCATCTTTTTCATATGTCTAAATATATATATCTTTTAAATAATATAAATAAAAGTACAAATTTTTATTATAAAATCTATCGTGGGTAAATGAGCATGACAAAACCAACATAATGGGTTTGCGACCAGCATGGATCCAGACCAGCCTGCGCATCCATGCAGTCTGATCAGGATCCATGCTGTTCGCTTACCAACTCTATTACAAGTAGAGAAACTGATAGCGAACAGCATGGATCCTGACCAGACTCCGAGGATGCGCAGGCTGGTATGGATCCATGCTGGTCGCAAACGCACTATGTTGGTTTTGTCATGACGCGGCTCAAATCAATTACCTTTAAGACTAGCAATCTCGAGGGATTTTTCCTGTTTATATTGGTTATATTCTATGGCTCGCTCCTCGTCTTGTTTATTATGTTCCTCGTTCTCTTTCTCCTTCTCGTTCTTTAAACGTCCAAACTCAGTCTCCATATCCTCATGCTGACTCTACATTTAAAACAAGAGAAAAATGTCAGGTATCCCTAAAGATAGTCCACGCCCACTAATAATTCTTAACCTTAAAGGCTTTTTCCTGAATTCCCGAAAAAGTACTAACTACAACATTTTATTAATTTTGGGAAAAATTGATTGTTTTTTTTTTCAAAATTGAAAAAGTTGCAGGCTTGGTGTGATTGAGCCTGTTCATGGACAATAGTTTATTGTGGTATTTAAGTAGTGTCCACACCTCCTAATAATTTTTAATCTCAAAGCTTTGTCCTGATTTTGGGAGAAAGTACTAAATCACAACATTTTATTAGTTTTGGGAAAAAATTTATTGTTTTTTCACATATTGGCACTGAAAATGCTAAAATTTCAGACAACAGTATCATGCCTGATGGATGGACTAGTTCTAAAGGATGGGGAATGAATTTTTATTATCTGTTGCTAGAAGCCTTCAGTTAAACATACGTTTCAAAGCTTATAATAATCATGTAAAAATATGTTCTTCAGATAAAATAACAACACATTTAATCAAATAGTAATTACTGTACATAAATACATGCATAAAAGAAATGACAAATGTTCCGATGTAAGATCAGTTAAATATTGGAAAAGATGTCACACTTGTTTCAGATGTCACAGCTGTCATAAATTATCTATATAAAATTATCATTCATATACAGCTAAGGCAGATTAATCTAAATATTGTTTTTAGATCCTGTACAATTATTTATATTGATCTGCAAGCAATTACTATATGAATTTGATCATCTTTAATGTCCGTAATGTTAATATAATAACAACCAGGTGAAATATGGCATTTATGTAACACAGAATCTAATGTTCTAAAGGTGGTCAGATCATTGTTGCCAAGTCCCTAAGACTTGTTGCTTTTTCAATATTATTTTCTACTGTTTGATTTTAAGTCTCATTAACATTTCTAAGGTCAAAATATCTGGTCAGTATCACAACTTTCCAGTTTGTAATTATACAGCAGCAGGTGCATAGTTTCAGGCACAAAGACATTTTTAAATATAAGTCGTAATGATTTTTTTTTGGGGGGGGGGGGGGAGAGTCGGGGTGAGGAGGGTATATAATAAATGTACTTGGTACCTTGAGCATTTTATATTGCTGTTGCTGAGAGTTTAATCGATTTGTCATCTGTTCCTGAAACACAGAAAATAATATACATACATAATACTGTCTAGTTAAATCTTCAACGTAATAATTATGTTCTAATTTGGACCATGTTTTTACCCCCATTCTTTACAAAAGACCAGTATAAGGTTGTGAAATGTAAAACAAAATGGTATTTTGACTTCCATACAAAATTATAAATCACTATTATGAATCACTGTAAGAACACAAAATTAACTAATAGCCACATTATGCAAAAGAAGCAAAACATGACTCAGCTGAAGCGCAACCTTTTAGAAACTGAAACAGGACCCTGAAAAGTGAATTATCATGTCTAATTATTGGTTCTTGTAAATCACATGACATACATTACTTGCTTTCTGGTAATATTTCTAAAATTCATAATTTAGCTTTCTTCAAAACTGGATTGTAAATTGATATAATGTAGAGTTATCTCAAATTTATAGTTACAACAGTAATACCCACTTATTTTATTACACCATATTATAGTGTTATTTCACACCTTATAAAATATAACCAATGCCCACCAATGCCCTTTCAGCATTTAAGTGCATCACATGATGTTCCAATAGAAGCCATTATTGGATCTAATCCTATCAATTTTTCTTTGTTTCCAAAAGGTTCATATCCAATCCATATCAACACAATCTAGCCTTGTTTTCAGATTTTCAGAGTCCAAAATCTATTATCAGATCCTTATTGTAATTGAAGTAACAAAATTCTGTTAAAAAATGGTGGTGTGAAATAGAGGTCATTAAACATAGTTAATAACAAACTGAATCTATTAGACTCATACACAGCAGCAAAACTTATATCAGACTCAACTTATTGGCCTTGTCCAATATGGTTCTGACATCTGTGTACTTGTCCAATAGTATTGTACTCAACAATGAATCACATAAATAAATGATTTCACTTACTTTATCATTATCACAGCGCTGCTTGAGCTCATCTTTGGCAATAATCTGATCTGAAATATAAAACCCAAAAATGAACACCCACAAAAGCAAATTAAATATAAAAGATGAAAATTTTCTCTTATCTGGTAAAGCAACTGTTGACAAACACAGGGGGGTGTGAACTTAAAATTTTCACATGACAAACTTTGTGTTATAGATGTATCTAACTAATTTGCAAAATGAATCTTCACTAATGTAAAAATATAATTATGATCATTTTAATATTGGTTTTCACCACAAAACACTGTTGTGTATATCTCATTATGACACTGTATAATATACTATATAGAAGGCATCGTTCCTGGGCATAGTGTCCTTTGATACAAAGATTTGTTTCCAAAATCATTATGTTGATATTACACTGAATTATAAAACTATTCTAGCCATTATTCAAATTTCAGTATGTTTGGCCAAGTGAAATAAAATACTATATAAGTGGTTAATTTTGCGGCATGGAAATATTTGCAATATTTGCCAAATGAAATTATTCGCAAATATTTGATCCTGCAAAAATTATTTCATTTAGGCAATTTTCCTTCTATCATTTAAAAACATGTTTTGATAGAGCATCTTATATGAATTTAATACAAAATACTCCTATTTTAAATACTAAACTGCCTCTTGTTAATTAAGAAGACAACTATAATATTATAATTTTAAAGTCACTACTAGAGATAACAAGCAAATTCGTTGAATTTATATCCCCCGCCGAGTACTGGTTATTATTAACACAACAACTGAAGACATAAGGCTTTATTTATATATTAATCATGGCATAAACTGTAAAATTCTTTGAACTTGAAGCCTTGTACCTTCAAACAAGAAGAGTTTTTAAGTTTTCACTATATACATATAAGGAAAATCTATGACCCCCTGGAGTGGGGCCAATTTTGACCCCAGGGCTAAAATTTGAACAATTTTGGCAGAGGACCTATATGTTATATCATATACCAAATATCAAAGCTCTAGGCCTTGTACTGTCAGACAAGATTTTTTAATTTTGCATTTTTGAAACTCCTTTTCTGGCACCGTGTGACTGATGATTGTGATTGAAAATTACAAAATTTTACTAAGTCAAGGGCAATAACTCTAAAAATACTAAAAATATCCAGACGAAAATACCCAGGTGCACAACTACACATACTGATCAACATTCCTGTAAAGTTTCATGACTCTAGGTAAAATACTTTTTGAGTTACATGCGACACAAGTTGAAAATTACAAAATTTTACTAAGTCAAGGGCAATAACTCTAAAAATACTAAAAATATCCAGACGAAAATACCCAGGTGCACAACTGCACATGCTGATCAACATTCCCATAAAGTTTCGTTGAATTCCAGCCATTAGTTGCAGAGAACTACTCCGGAAACGAAATTCGGACAAAATTTTACTGAGTCAAGGGCAATAACTCTAAAAATACTAAAAATATCCTGACGAAAATACCCAGGTGCACAACTACACATACTGATCAACATTCCTGTAAAGTTTCATGACTCTAGGTCAAATACTTTTTGAGTTACATGCGACACAAGTTGAAAATTACAAAATTTTACTAAGTCAAGGGCAATAACTCTAAAAATACTAAAAATATCCAGACGAAAATACCCAGGTGCACAACTACACATACTGATCAACATTCCTGTAAAGTTTCATGACTCTAGGTCAAATACTTTTTGAGTTACATGCGACACAAGTTGAAAATTACAAAATTTTACTAAGTCAAGGGCAATAACTCTAAAAATACTAAAAATATCCAGACGAAAATACCCAGGTGCACAACTTCACATGCTGATCAACATTCCCATAAAGTTTCGTTGAATTCCAGCCATTAGTTGCAGAGAACTACTCCGGAAACGAAATTCGGACAAAATTTTACCGAGTCAAGGGCAATAACTCTAAAAATACTAAAAATATCCTGACGAAAATACCCAGGTGCACAACTTCACATGCTGATCAACATTCCCATAAAGTTTCGTTGAATTCCAGCCATTAGTTGCAGAGAACTACTCCGGAAACGAAATTCGGACGGACGGATGGACGGACGGATGGACGGACGGACGGACAGACGGACGGACGGAAGGACGGACGGACAACGCCAAAACTATATCCCCCTCCCGATTCCATCGGCGGGGGATAATTAACTAATTAATTAAGCAATCAACAATAAAGGGTTTAATCATTATACATAGAATATTTTCTACCATATAAGATTTTTTGTCAGATTGCAAGGATTATGTAGGCTGAACAAAGTTTCAATAATGGTGACAAGTAGACCTGCTAATTTATTACTACAAGCACTCAAGCATTTGCTGGGAAGTACAGAAACAATTTTCTATCAAAAAGGAAGTTCAATACATTGACTTCATTTGCAAAGAAAGATGGTTTTAATTAAACAGATTCCACTATGTAATGATAATACACAAAAGGGAAAGATGTAAATAATCTTCATGCTTCAAACAATGCTTTTTTTCCTAAATAGATTTAAATGAGGCCATTTATAAGTGTCTTCCCCACATAAAAAAATCTTTAACTACATGAAGTTTTTTGTTGTCCTATTGCAAAAATACTGTTTTACATTTTTCCTAAAACTTATGCCCCTTTCCCTTATTTTTTCCCCTATTGCAAAATGTGTCATTTTTCCCAAAACTTTAAAGAAAGGCCCCTTCCTCTATCTGTGAAAAAAGCCCTACTTGCAAGGAAGCATGCCTTATTGTGTTTTTTCAACTCTTGTTGAACATTTTCTGCATGGCATTACTAAATTATACAAGTTAATTGTATCCACATACGAACCAAGAGGTACTAGTGTGACTTGGAGAACAATGGGTAACAGTATATTCTCTTTGATCCTATTCATTCCGTTTTTACTTGTGTGTCTTTTTTTTAAGCCTTGTGTGACTAAAAATGGCCAAAAAGATCAAAGGAAAAGTCACATAAGTACCATTTTGTGAGTACGTCCGACTTCAAGGCTCGGGATAGTGAGTGGAGTGGAGGCAAATTCATACTTTCCTCTGACTATGTAGAGTAGTTTGTTTAATGGTGCCAAACTGACCTATGGAGAGTTGATTCAGTTTGGTCCTGTTGAGGTTTGAACCCACACCTTCCTTACAATCCAAATACATTACCAGTCAAATGCATCAACCACTAGACCACACTATCACATTAAATAACATTAACTTAACTTCAAGTTTGAAGTATTTACATTCTAGATATCTGTCATTGGTTTTATGAATGAATGAAAGTACCAATGATTTACTATAGTACAAGAAGAAATACTGCTCATAGTTTTAAGCGCTTGTAATAAAGAAAATATACAGTATTCAAACACTACTGTAAAGTTGCATAGGTATTGGACTACTTCTAGGAATTTTAAATGAGCCCAAAGAAAATTATATGTAGCAAGGTGCTTCTGACTTATAAAACATCAAAGTTTAAACATACTATTATTTTCCAATATCCAACCTGTACAATATGAATAATTTAATCTCTATAATCATAGCTATAAATTATTAAATGATTCTATAAGGCCATAAATGAACATGATTTATTAATGCCTCTCATCAAGGTAATCATATAGTTAGTAAATAAATTTGACCGGTGTCACAACAAAACCAACGAAGTGTGTTTGTGACCAGCATGGATCCAGACCAGCCGGTGCAGTCTGATCAGGATCCATGCTGTTCACTTACCAACCCAGTACAAGTAGAGAAATTGATAACGAACAGCATGGACTGCACGGATGAGCAGGCTGGTCTGGATCTATGCTGGTCGCAAACGCACTATGTTGGTTTTGTCGTGACACGGCTCAAATATATTATTATCACTATCAAATGCTCAAATCTACAGTAAATTTCTAGATAGTAAATAACCTCCCTTCTATCAATTTTTCAAACAAAATAAAAACATAGCAGAAGATGCCTTCATGTCATTAACAGTAATAATTAGGTTCATTATCACAGTCGTATTATTTCACATCAAAACAAGAACACAATCAGTCCACAGACAGCACTGCACAGTACTAGATAGAATGATTACTTGCCCCTTTGCAAAGAACAAGTGGTTGTTTTCACTAAAGATCATGGCAGTAAGACACACTGAATTTACCAGAGCACAGTGAGTTCAGCCACCACATCGTTCCTGGGCAGGCTGTCAAGCAGTTTTCCAGTACTAGTTGCCTACACTTTCACAAAGAACTGACTTCTGTACATGCCAGAGCATACACTTTATAAGCACACTCCTAACTTAAATAGCTGAGTTTGAAGCATAAAAAGGGGCATAACTTTGCAAAATAATTTCATGATTATCTGCCCAATTGATTTTGCAGCACATTATGAACAAGAGTACAAAGATTGAAAAGAATACATTTGTTTCTGTAAAAAAGGACCTGACAGAAAAAGTTGATCTCAACTGACAGAAAAAGTTGATCTCAAATGAAACACCAAGAAGGTCATGAAATTTTTCGAAGAAAAAAAAAGCGGAGCTACAACTTTTACAGTCACTTACTAATAAAGTAAATGTGTAACCTAGTCATGTATATAAGTGAACTAGATGCTTAAATGTAACATTCCAATTTAAACTTTGCACAAATTATCAATGCCTAGAGTAATGCATTATAACCAGTTGCAATTCAAAACCTAAACTAAGTTAGTTCTACAATTAGATGATGCATTCATCCACACAAAACTGGCAAACCATTTCATAATATATATTACATACACAGTAATTTCTTTAAATACAACACTTTCACACTTAAAAATCAAACCACAACAATCTGATTTCCTTCAAAGAAACTACATATGCACCCATAATATTTACAGCAAAACAATTTCCAATCATTAAATAAATACTTACTTGCTGAACAAACCAACATGTTTCTATGTGGGGAAATCTCAACTTCTTTTTGACAATTAGAATAGAAACATTCGAGTTCAGCAGTTATAAAGGGTCATTATCAACTATAAAATGGCACAAAACTGGTAAAAAACTAAATTCAGATGAACTAGGAAGTAAAACTACAAAAATGTTTAAAATACATGTATTTTGTAAGTAACAGTCATTCATATTGGAAACTAGTCAACTAGAAACCTCAATTTACATACAAACTATGTCACTTCTTTTTATAGAAAAAAAATAAAATAACCAAAGAAAACATAACATCTTATTCTTAATGTTAATATAACTACATAGGAAGTTATTTTATTTTCAAGTTGGGTTTAATGTGGGGAAATAATTTTACATGCATCATCCAAAACTAACAACTTAGGGGGTGTGGCCATGCAGCCTTACCATCAAGCAAAGCTTTGTACTTTAACTTTTCTGTATGTAGAGCTTTTTGTAAACGCTCTGTGTGACCGTACTGCACTGAAAATATGCACATGCTTGCCTATTAGATAATAATGCATTGAATGTGTATACTTAAAGCCTACAATAAATGGAAGAACGTAATGTTACCCATATAATACAGGAGAAACGTAAAAAAACAAAAATGTCGAAAGCAACACTCTCTACAAAGCAAAGCCACAAAATAAATATTTTTAGGGTACATATACATTTTGTTTCTCCACTGAATTAAATTCTATTTGAGATTTCCCAATACTTTCTTTGGAAACACATCATGTATGCTATCCTTAGAACAAATTAATGTTCTTAATTCATAATTGATGACTCAATACAACTTACTCCTGCTAGATTTGACAGGAAAATTAAAATATTCAATCTCAACCTAGATATATTATCCAGAACAGAATGTAATCCGAAACTTGGCAAATGTTGGTTTATCGAATCTAATACCCTGATACAAACAAACTTTGACGGTTTTTACTTCACCATGCACTACCGTTTACATTATTCAACCTTTTGTGCTTATTTCGAGCTCAGTAACTGTAATAAAAGTTTGTTTGTACCGCCTGATTAGCTAAGAAAAACCTAAACACATGATCATAACCTTTATTTATTTCCACCTCCCCCCCCCCCATTTTTGGCATAATAAATTCATGATATAGTTAGTTTATACAAATTTATTTTAGTTCGATTGTGATGGAAGCTTTTAGCTAATTAAAACACTCTCGAACCTGTTCCTGGAACAAACCAGTACTAAGGAATGAATGTAAAGTTTCTTGCTTAGGGAAAAACAGCTTGCCACTGACAGGGTTAACGAACCCAAGCGGGTCAGTAATCCATAGACTACTAGTCTGATGCGTTAACCACGGGTGGGCCACGCCATGCCACCAATCATAGCAATGATACAGTTATGATCAAGACAGACACAAAACCATCATAGCTTTCTTAATTGGCTGCTCAGGTAACTAAAATAAACTAACTTATAATAATTTAATACACATAACATACTGGTCTTTGTTTTTTGGGTGTTTTTTTAATGGTATGTATATACATGATATAACATTTTTTACTGTGTATTTTCCCATTCTTTTGCATTCATGCATTCATCGTACAGAGTAAAATCTTTTTGACCTAGTGAATATCACCTAAAAATAAACAAATAACAACCCAATTTTCTTTACCATACAAAGTAAAACTGAAGATAAATTTCAAAGGACACTTTAAATGATCTGCTAAAAGCATTTATAAATGCACTCACTATATGCTTGTCTAAGGAAGAGTGAATTTTAATTTAGTGAATAATGAATAATATATATTTACAACTATATGTACTTAACAGACAGAAACTAACTGGTTTACAATTGATTTTCTTCAGTTATAACATTAATTCTGTTAAATTTGCTTAATAGATTTTCCTGACTTGAACTTGGAACAGACAAACTCAAATGTTATGAAATTTCAATACAAAAATTGAAAAATTGAAGGGATTGACCACTGATGTCTATTTACTTGACTGGACTTATGAAAAATTTTTTCTAGATTAATGTTCCATTTTGGTGTAGGTCTAGACTAATAACTTTTATATAAAATTTCAGACTATTCACTTTCTCTAGTTTTCCAAAAAAAATATTTTTATTGTACATTGAAAAACTGCTTTTTACTCAAATCAAACTATGAATAGCACAAAAATATGATTTCCAAATTTCTTAATTATCTTTTGCATATCTTTCTGTTTTCAATGACCCAGCTGAGCTTTGTAAGATTAATTTAAATGTTATCATATGAATATGTGAATATGTTTTTGGGCTTTGGACCTCAGTGGAGTTCCTTTAAGCTAAAAAAATAATATAAATTAAGGTTTTTTTTCATTTTCTAGCAGGGGCTGTTATCAGGCTTCCTCTCTATAAATCCATCCTATCAATATGAGTTAATGCATTTTCCCTTCTAATTCAAATGATGGCAAGATTTTTTCTCCCTCTTTTGCAAAAGTAACCAGTTGTGTTTTGCAAAATTTAGGGGGAAGAGTACTTCTTTCATATAAATGGGGAAAAAAGCCCTGCAACATAATATTGAACTTTGTCAGACTATACAGATGTGCAAGCTCTAAATTGGTGGGAAATTGCTTCCAGCAGATTAGCAGTTTATGTGTAACTATTCACAATTACATAATTGAGCTGCGTCACGGCGAAAACCAACTAGTGCGTTTGCGACAAGCATGGATCCAGACCAGCCTGCGCATCCGTTAAACAAAACATATGAAAACACATAATACTACATGTACGTCCAACCACGTTGGTTTTTATTAATATGTACATTTAAAAAGTCACGCAGTGTATTTCTCATGAACACTGAATGATACTGCAAGAAATTAGCCACTTCCTTTGTGCTGATCACTCAATAAAATTGTTTTGTTATGACATTTTGTCACCTAAACTAAAGGACAGTTTAGCCTGGAGTGTTGACAAAACAAGGCGCTAATTGCTCAATAATTTCTATTTCTTCCAATCCTTAAAGCCTTTCGTTTTTGGTCACCTTTGTTTTTCTCAAGGTGACAAACTGACGCAGACATAGTGCCAATGAAGTGACCTCGTTAAAATTCTGAAAAATATGCATGGAATGTCGAATATATGTACATTGTAACCGACATCTCACTAAAACCGATCTCGTTATAAACAATATAAAAAATAAAAGGAAAATAGAAGGAAAAAGGCCAGGACACAGTAGGATGAACGTTATTATTAAGCTGTATCTCGTTAAAACCGATCTGGTTGAAAGTGGAGTCTACTGTAACAATATTCCACCATGTGTCTGGTGGATGAGTGCTGTATGTGCAGATGTGACACATCTATTGTTGTGTCAGTTAGCTTGTAAACTGTTGAGAATGCCTGCCAGTTCAGCTTACATAGAGCCATATTTTCAAACTTTGGTCTTATTCAAAATAAATTAAGAAACAAACTTGGAATATAAAAATGTGCTAAATTAGTTTTCTGCTACAGAATGCTAAGAGAAAAGGAAGAGATAGAGTGCTGAACTTATCCTGTACTGTAGCCTGATAATGTCAAGCATACACAACATAGTTGTTGATGCTCAGAACCAATTTTGAATGAATTGCACTTGTGCTATTCTTTATTCTTAATGTTTACTTTACCAATAAATGTAAATATGTTCAGTTTCTTTGGAAAAAAAACACCAAAATATCATATTACCCAGTAATGCCCAGTATTACGCAGTTTAAGGAGTATTGAACAGTCCGGGAAAACCTGGGTTTTCCCAGACAGCCAAACCTGCAACAAACCTGCTATTTCGGATGGAATTTCGTATTCTTGCTAGGTTGGACACTCTATACATTATATATACAGTATAGTTTTGTTTTCTAGAATTAAGTTAATACGGGGAAGTCAAAGTCCGGGCCCGCTGGCTTTGGCTTGCCCGGCTATAGACTACACGTGTATATTTAAAAGAAAATCAAATAAAAAACAATTAAAAAATATATAGAATTCTATACCTATCAATGAAATTTTCAGTGTCAGTTCTAGTAAGGCGCCGCCATTTACAATGTAAGTCAATGATAAAAAACAGTGTATTCCGATAACGGAACAAATCTCAACTTTTCAGATTAATAATAATCGTCGAGTGTTCCGAGTGAAAACGGAAGCGGATAATACAATAACTAACGAATGACGATTACTGGAGGTTACGTACCACGGAGGATACGTACCAGGAGGTTACGTACCATTTTTGGAGGTTACGTACCACTTATATATTTTGGAGGATACGTACCATATATATAATTTATATAAAATACAAATAATATAGAGCATAACAATTATAAAAAAAGACCGAATTTTAAAACTTTATTATTACTTTTTAAAAATCACATATGAGCAATTAATGTAAATGCAAACGTTTTATATATGATTATCACACATTCAGAAATGAGTAATCTAACAAATCACAAACAAATTGCAAACTATTGACATATGAGTGAATCAGTGTGGTATTAATTATTTATCACAACTCTGATCCGGCTTTGACGTGTAACTCAAACTTTAAATGAGTGAACTCTAATAAACATATAAATATACTGCAATTCTTGTCCGATATCACACTGTAGGCTCGATCCTCACTCGGGTCGAAATCTTTCATGTGAGGAAGCCATCCAGCTGGCTTACGGAAGGTCGGTGGTTCTACCCAGGTGCCCGCTCGTGCCTGAAATAATGCCCGGAGGGGCACCTGGGGTCTTCCTCCACCAATAAAGCTGGAAAAAAATCGACGAAAAATCTCGGCGGGACGCTCTAGGATGACCCGACTTGAGTGTACGGTCGCCCATATGGGCTTTCCGGCGGCGACCTTAAATAAACGCATAAAAAAAAAAATCCGATATCACAACTGTAATTACTTACAGAAAGCAGTATGACGGAATCAGCCCACTGTTTAGTTTGTTCTAAAGAAGTTACAAGAAGACAACATGCTTTACAATGCGACCAATGTAATAATTGGCAGCATCGTTTATGTGGGACAGGTAGTCTTTTTAATTTTATTAGTTATTATAATGTTCATAAAAAAATAATTACCCTCTAATAATCCATTATTATGTAAAGATTTAAGTAAATAAATCAATCTTCTTGATGATTATTTATATCATACTATCATACAATTGAATAAAGATTCTGTTTACGTTTCATTTTTTCAATTTATAACTATTTATATAACTTTATTTTTCAGGAATAACACAGTCAGATTACAGGATGATGGTGCGTGGTGTTATTGAGGTCGAGTGGAGCTGTAGCATATATGCAAGTCTCCGGTAAGTAATACTGATGAAATTAATTTAATGAAATTTCGCGGCGATCAACTTTTACACAAAACATGCATGTATAATTTCTTTCTTAAAACATATTTAATTTAATTTCAGGTTGTTGACAACTCACAAGAAGAAGAAGAAGACCACCTTCAAATTCCAGCAATGTTACACGACATTACGAGTGCTGAATCTGACCTGATGGAAGTCGAGCAACGGGTGACCACAGATGAACTTGAAGATCGACCACTTAATATACCTGATAGGGATGTTCAACGCCCTGCTAGAATACTAGATGTGTAAGTTTATTCTTATATGTGAATTTCTGAAATGCGAATCTGAAATTATAATCGAAACAAATAAAAAACATTTTTTTTTTATTCCAGATCAGTACGTGAACCACATATGGATGATGACGTCCCAGAAGAACATGACATTCAATATGAGCTAGTGGAAAAGGGAACCAAGAAAGGAGGGAAAATGTTGACCGCAAGTAACGGGTATTGTTTTAACGTAAAAGTGAGTATTAATCGTCAAAAGAAAAAAAAATCAAAAATCATCAAGATTAAATTTTTATCATAATATCATATTATTAATATTAATATTTTCAGAGAGTATTTATCGTCAAAAGAAACAATCATCAAGATAATATGTTTCTATCATAACATATATAATATATCATATTATTAATACATGTATTAATATTTTCAGAGAAAGAAAGACAACTTCACATATTGGGTGTGCAGCGTGCGAAGTGCGAAAGTCCGATGTCAAGCATGGGTCAAACAGTACAGCGATACATATGTAGCATCTAGCAGCTGTCATGAACACCCCGCCGATCCTAGCATTAGGGTTAAGGTAAAGGTCACAGCGAAGGTAAGTTTATCATCGGGATGATTTTTGTGAAATATCAATTTCTATTGACGCATCGCGAATATTTATGTAAATTCGTGTTCATCAATTAATTCGGTTGTTTTTTTATTTCAGGTTAAAGATCTGGCTGCAAGAAATATCCACGTTCCTGCTGCTAGACTAGTTCAGGAAGCTGTCACAGAGGCTGTCACATCTGACCTACCATTTGTTCCAAACATAGACAACATAACGAGGGCAACTAACTTATTTCGTCAGAAAATGCGCCCATCTGAACCAAAGGAAGATGATTTGTCGTTTACGGTAATATATATCATCATTTTTGTATTGGAATGGAATCTTATTGAGTTGTGATATATTTTTACATAATATATTTATGTATATATTAATGTCAACTTTATATACTTTCAGTTGTCACGTGACTTCATCAAAGCGGATGAGTTCCTCGTGGATGATATACGTGTGGGAGAGGAACGTCATATGACGGCAGCCCAGCTAAGCCACCTTCAGACTGCAAGGCGGTGGTTCATAGACGGAACTTTTAAAGTGGTACGACGACCATTTTATCAGTTGATGTCTGTTCATGCTTTTGTTAAGAGTGGTGAACATGTAAAACAAGTACCTCTTGTTTTTGTATTGATGTCAAGGAGAAGGAAGGAAGACTACGTTGAGGTATGTTTCTTATAAAATCAATTGAAATGAGATGAATTGAGAATTATATTTCATGTTATAGAATTCTTACGATTTTTTTATTTTTCAGGTTTTTTCACGACTGAAGGAGAAACTTGGAGATCCGATGGTAGAGTGGTTTATGCTGGACTATGAAGCAGGTAAATAGCATCTCTATTTTGTTTTTTGGAATGATTGAATTTAATGTGTAACATGTATACATCCACTCATTCTTGCTAATTACTCTTTTTCAGCTGCGTGGCAGGCTATCAGACAAACTTTCCCAAACACCATCGTCAAGGGGTGTGTTTTTCACTGGCTCCAAAGGGTGTATAGAAAGGTCATTCAGCTTGGACTCGCCACCGCATACTCTGATAAGAGGGACAAGTTCCTTTTTATTAGAAAGCTGATGGCCCTTCCATACCTTCCTGCGGAGCACGTGAGACCCACCTTCATTGAGTTGGAGTCTCAAGCTGAAGAGTCCAGATGCGTTCCCATCATAGATTTGACAACTTACATCCGAGATACATGGATCGACGGCAGACTATGGAAAGTGGAGAGCTGGTCAGTTTTCAGAGAAACCGTACGTACTAATAACGATGTTGAAGGTAAATAGTTTCATTTACAATTTCACTCACTATGAATATCAGTACCGCCTTTTTATAATCGATTTTCGTAACTCAGTGTTTATAATACCAAAATATAGATACTACATATTTGTTGATATTTTGCAGGCTGGCACAGACGTCTAAATTCACGTGCAGGCGGGGCGCAGCTTGCATTCTACGTTCTGGTGCCTCTTCTTTATGGTGAGGCTCAGTTCGTCGACTTGCAAACTCGTCTCGTCTCACAGAACATGCTGACAAGGGTACGCAGGAAGCAGTACAAGGCCATCCATGACAAGCTGTTCGACCTGTGGGACACGTATGAAGACGGAGACATAACTACAAATCAACTTTTGAAAAATTCAAGTCACATCATGGGCCTAGGACCAATTCCAGCAACAGTGGATGACCATTGCGACGACGAAGATCTTGAGTAGATTCTGACAAGAGGACAGTAGCATCCAGGAGCGGTTTAGGGGAGCTGAAAAATATGTGTTTGTATATATGAGTCTGTAAATAAAACGTTACCTGCATATGTACGGTGATCAATTATGTTGTCTTGTTTATTTCAGTATATTATTATTATTCAGTGCGTATAAATTAAATTATTTTAAAAATACTTGTTAATTGTGTATTGTTGTTTCATTTCAGAGCGTGTAACATAATTATGTGTTTTTATATATGAGTCTGTAAATAAAACGTAACCTGCATATGTACTGTTATCAATTATTTTGTCTTGTTTATTTCAGTATATTATTATTATTCAGTGTGGATAAATAAAATATTTTAAAAAAATACTTGTTCATTGTGTATTGTTGTTTCATTTCAGAGCGTGTAACATAATTATGTGTTTTTATATACGAGTCTGTAAATAAAACGTAACCTGCATATGTACTGTTATCAATTATTTTGTCTTGTTTATTTCAGTATATTATTATTATTAAGTGTGGATAAATAAAATATTTAAAAAAATACTTGTTCATTGTGTATTGTTGTTTCATTTCAGAGCGTGTAACATAATTATGTGTTTTTATATATGAGTCTGTAAATAAAACGTAATCTGCATATGTACTGTTATCAATTATTTTGTCTTGTTTATTTCAGTATATTATATTATTATATTATTCAGTGCAGATAAATAAAACTCAAAAAGTATTTTTTTTATGTTAATTGTAACATAATTATTGTTATTTTCATTTTATGCACAGTTCGGTTAACGTGTAAATAAAACTTGTAAATGTAAACTTCGTTTGTTCGTTTCAGTTTTGTGTTGTAAATAAAACTTGTTTATTATCGTTAATTGGTTTGTTCTTTATTCTTTTATATTCATACATATTTAATCTCATTACAAAATTAATACAATTAATGCGCGAACTTGAACAATAAACCTGATAGTTTCACACCTTATCCCTTATTATCACTTTATTATATATTTCTATAGTGGTACGTAATCTATTATATATTTCTATAGTGGTACGTAACCTCCAAAAATGGTACATTTATGCAGTGGTACGTAACCTCCATGGTACGTAACCTCCAAATTCCACGAATGACACCTTTAAAAAGAAAAAAATGAAAGGATTATTTAACGACTTCCCCGTTCATAGGCTTTGCCTAATTTCATATTAATAATAATAACTCTGTGCCAGTCCCTGTGATCAAATTAGGTGACGAATCATGTTCTTGAAATACAAAACAAAATTTATTTAATGCAAATTTGACGCCATCCGGGCCCGCGAAGCCCCCGCGGGCCTATCAATGAAATTTTCAGTGTCAGTTCTAGTCGGGCGCCGCCATTTACAATGTAACTCAATGATAATAGGCGGGGTATTCCGAAAACGGAACAAATCTCAACTTTTCGGATAAATGATAATCGTCGAGTGTTCTGAGTGAAAACGGAAGCGGTGCATGTATTGATGTAATACCGAATGACACCTTTAAAACGGAAAGAATGAAAGGAATTTTCAACGACTTCCCCGTTCATAGGCTTTGCCTAATTTCATATTATGTTTTCTGTCCACAAATTATATAGATTTACAGGGCGGCTGTACCTTGTAGTTGTGCTGATACTGACTCCTGTTCTCTTCTGTATCTTTCTGCAGAACGTTCTGTGTTTTTCAACTGTCCCGACAGATCGTTGTACAAGTATATAAAATAAACCAGACCAAAAAAGGCAATAACACAAACTACTACTTTGGGCATGCTTCCATTTCTTCGCATCATTTTGAGTGACAAGGCATTAATTTAAGATAAACTACAAAATAATCTAGTTACGATTTATCACAACAAACAACATGGACGTGTCACCGACTGGTTCATTCGACTGGTTTCATTATGTGAAGAACGCAACGAATTATAATTACCGTAAAGTATCCAAATGTACGCAAATGAAACCAGGCTAAGAAAGGCTATATACTAAAAGTTAGAGAAAAACAGAATCTCTAAAGAAAGCCAAACTCGGCAAAATTGAAAATGTTGCAGGCTCGGTTTGATTGAGCCTGGACACAAAATACGATTTTCAGTTTATTTCTATCTATATATTTCTGTTTTAAGTGCCCCAGCTGATCTATGTAAGGAGAGATCTTAATTTTATGTTTTAGGCTTTTGGACTTAATTTGTTATTGGAATAGATCTAGATTCTACCTTTTTCCCAAAAAAAGAAAAGAAAAAAAGGAAAAGAAAAACCAAACTTATACTGTTAATAAAAAAAATCTTAAATCGCACTTTGATGCTACTGTGCAGTAAGTACAAAGTTTTTGTTGTTTAACCAGTGCTCACACATAATGTTTGGTGAATTAAACGAGCGTGGCATTTACAAGAAGAAGGGTTGTCGATTTGGGTGTTCTTTAGGGATTCCGTTTTTCTCTATTTTAATTTTCGCATTCTTTTCTTTGCGGACCAAACGAAATTATCAATTTCATGTTTGAATGTTGAATTCTGCTTAAGCCGGTGCATGGGGGCGTGGACTTTAACTTGCAATTTCCAGTAACGTTCATGGAAGGCTAGCTCAATCGAACCGAGTCTGCAACATAACACACGTGGTTACGGCATTTAAAATTTCACTGAGTGGTCAAGCTAACAATATAATTATTATTATTATTATTGTAGCAGGGTCATATTTTTGTATGGCAGTATTATGAAACGTGTCAGCTCTTTCCGGTGTTTTATTTCTTTAGGTTTTGATAAGTTCTTGCTGGTCTTTTATTTTCTTGTTTTCTTTGTGATCTCGCGAGAGTTTGGCGGGAATGTTGTGCAGGTTTTGAAAAGAGTTTACATGGTTGATGTAGAGAACATTCTATTAATTTCAACTTGTCTATATGATTTACATTTGGTTGAGCTATCCAAGTGTTTGTGAGAAGTATTTAAGGTAGTTTTGTGATGGCTGAAATGATAATTTATTATTCGGTTTATTTGCAATGTTGTATTTTACAGCGCGTTGAATGTTCCAAAATGGCAGTCATTTACTTTCTCTTTCAATTCTATATTTTTATAACCAGCATGTATTATATGTTTTAATCTTGTTCACAGTTAACCATCACGTGAGACAGGATGTATGTGATGTGAAGTGAAGTGATATAGATTCTAATTTGTCATTGGTTTATTGTGGAATAGGCTTAAGATCCCATAGATCTGTAAGTATAAGAGTATGTTGGTATTTATACCTTTTGTAATAATGTAAACATTATACATGTAATGTTTAACTGGTAAGACATAAGAGTACAAATGCTTTAATCATTTAGTGATCTTAATGTCTATGGTAATAAGATGTTTAAATGCTATGTTTATTGATTGTATATATTATATGTGCAAACATTGTTATTATTATGTCATTTCAGTGCCTTGATTAAAGTTAACTTCAACAGAGAAGATATATTGTATATTCGTCATGACATGATATTGACTGTATATGTAGATTGGAAACAATAAATGAATAACCACATCTACCCTGTGTTATAACACCATGTGTTACAATGGAGCCCCCAAGTGATCTTTAAAGAAGAAAACCAGATCGAACTCAAGGATGTGGTAAAATCTACGAGATATAATTGTGTCAAAAATATACATGTTTACATTTTATTTAAAACAAAAGAAGAAATTTCACTTCTTTTGCTTGATAAATTACGATTGACCATCAACGTGCAGATTGTGTTCTAATTTCCTACCTTCGTCAGTGGTTACAATTCAGATCTACCATCTTATCTGCGTGCAATTTGTGTTCTACTTTCTTACCTTCATCGGTGATCTACCTTGGAATTCATTATTATTTCACCACTGACCAGTATTGTGTAGTTGTCATACTATTACACAACCATTTGTTTTAATTTTAATAATTTGATAAATAATATTTCCATCATAGTGATTAAGAAATCATACAACATTGATACATGACTTTATCACCATTATCGTGGGGACACGATAACTAGAGCTGGAGAGAAGATAGTCAAGTGCTATAGTAACTATTAACTACCCGAACCAACAGTGAACAGTGAACATTGTAAAGACTCTTTTTGGATGAACTTTCTTTTTAAATAGTGTTTTGTTATTGACTTTGTGCAAAAGTATTTATTATTTCAAGTATATATTTAAAAAAAAAGTATTTGATATAATCTTTGGATTTAATATAATCTTTGGCACTGAAAATTTAATTCTGTAATAAATATTCATATATAATTTTTAATATTTTCAGGAAAATATGTTTGGATAATATTTAATAAATTGTTATTTTGTTATCTACAGGGTGTGATATTGTATGCTGAATGAAAGAATTTCACTTGGTACACTGATAGGTGAAGGGAACTAACCAGTTAGCTGCACAAACTAGTAATTTCTTTCTCTTATTATCTTCTGTTTTAACTACTCTGTAGTGACTGCTATATTGGAACATTAAATTTAAGTAATAAAGTAAATTATTTTATAAGTAAACGAGAATTTTTTTGCTAAGGTTATATTTCAGCCATCATATAATATTCATAAACCGTGCTGACTTCCAAGCTTATATACTCCCTAGTGACTTGAAGTTGTTCATTTGATCTTGGAATCCTTTATTTTTGGACTTGTGTGTTCTGATTCTTGAACTTCCTGATTTTGGTCAGGTCGGAGTTGTCTTTTCATTGAATAAAACTTCATAGTAAATCATATATTATTGTTTTCAGTCAGGTCGGAGTTGTCTTTTCATTGAATTAAACTTTATTGTGAATCACATATTATTGTTTTCAGGTATTACAGAGTAATCTGCCTTTGAATACTGATTATAAATAAAATGATATAAAATTGAATATTATTGAAGAAATCTGTGTTACATCTCTGAAATAGTTCAGCAAATAATTATAAGGGTGTGTGAAATAGAAAATTATTTCATTCATCATTAAAATAATTAAATTTTCTAAAATTAATTGATAATTAATTTTGGAACTTATCTAAAGTTAAACAAAATATATATTATAAGGGTGTTGAGATAAATATTATCTCAATCATCATTTAAAATAATAACATTTTCTGGAATTAATTTTTAAATTAATTTCAGAATTAATATTAGAGCTCTAAATAAATAAATAAATAGTGGATGCATACACTATAAATTTGGTTTGAAAGTTAAAACGCGAAATGTTGCGCGCGACTGAAAGGTGAATGTAGAATTGAATTGAAAAGTGAAAGTAGAATTTAAATGATATAAGGTGAAAATAGAATTGAACTGAAAGTGAAAGTAGAATTTAAATGAAATAAGGTGAAAATAGAATTGAACTGAAATTGGAAGGTGAAATAGAATTGAATTGAAATTGGAAGGTGAAGGTAGAATATAATTGAATTTAGGAAGTGAAATTCGAGTTAGATTGAATTTAACTTGATTATTTGAATTGAATATTGTGAAGTGATAGAGATAACAGAAGTGAAAGTTAGAAGTTGATGTATAAATTGACAAAGTGAATATATATAGAAGAATTATAGTGTTTTGAAGATAGTCGAGACAGATATGAAGTGTTGAAATAGAAAAGTGAAAGTAATTGAATATATATAGTGAAGAATTGAGCATTGAAGTGATAAAGTGAAATACATAGTTTGAATATTGTAAAGAAGGAAGATATTTTGAGATTATCAGTATTGTGTTGTGATTGAATGTGATACGACAGTGACGTTTAATTGTGCTAGTGAAAATTGTTTGTGACAAGTGACGTAAGGAGAGATACACAACATGGATCCTGGCAAAATAACATCAAAAGACTTGAAGCTTTTAGAATTAATGCACAAGTTGAAAGAACCTCCCGAAGTTGAAACAATGGATGATCTTGTTTCTTATATGAAACATTATAATGAAGGAGACCCAGATTTTACAAAACATGGGGCAACTGGAAAAACTGTTAAAGAGGAAACAACTATAATTAGCAGTAAATTTCCGAGGATATCTTTGTTTTACGGAGAAACAGGAAAGGGAGAAGTCACCTATTCTACATGGAAATATGAGATATGTTGTCTGTTAGAGGAAAAGACATATACAACAGAACAAGTTTTACTTGGTATTCGGAGAAGTGTTAAAGGAGAAGCGGCAAATATTATGAGAAGATTGGGAACAGGTGTAACTATTGATGATTTAATGGCTAAATTTGAAAGCACATATGGAGATATAGAGTCCCAAGAATCAATATTGAAGAAATTTTATGCCAGTAAACAAGAGACAAATGAATCAGTGCTCAAATATGCTGCCAAGTTAGAGGAAATATTTTCACAAGCAGGGGAAATTGATGCACTTGATCCCAAAAATGAAGGAGCTTTGAAAAGTGTATTTTATTCTGGACTTAAACAGCCACTGAAACAAATGTGTAATTACAAGTTTGAAACAGTCCATGACTATGATAAATTTAAAGTGGAAGTAAGAAAAATTGAAAGTGAGATGGATTCGATACAGAAAGAAACAACTGGAAAATGTCATGCTGTGAATGTGAAACCTGAAAAGACAGAATTAGGCGAGGTCAAGGAACTTTTACAAAGTATGAATGATAGAATCAAGAAATTAGAATTGGAAAAGGAGGAATCGAAATTTAACACCTACAGAGGTAGAGGATTTAGAGGAAGTCGACATATGAGAGGAAATTTTTATAGAGGTCAGTTTAACAGAGGTCGTGGTAGAGGAGATTATACACCAAGTCGTCCCTTAGGTGCCAACAGTTTTAGACCAAGTAACAGATATACTTCGAGTCCAGACTCCATCATCACTTGCTACAAGTGTAGACAATCTTGTATCTTCAGGAATTTTAGAAAAAGTGAATGCGGATATTTCATCTAAACTCATAGATGCCATCATGAAATAGTGATTTGAAATTTTATCAATTTGTTCAGAATTCCAAACTATTGTTTATCATTGACTGAGAATTGTGTATTACCGGTATTCTTTAGAAATGTGCCAGTAAGAATAAAGTGAATAAACATTTATAAACAGCATGTGATGATAATTTATACTGGAAGGTGTTTGAATTGCAATAGAAGTAGAATGTAAAGTCAACATATGAAAATTCATACTGGTGAAAATATGAGAATGCAGTAAGAATCTGACAATTCATACTGATACAATAAGAAACTAATGAATATTCCTAGGAAATAGTGTTGACAATTCATACTGGAGAAAATACTGAAGAATTGATATGGAATTTAACTATTGATTATTCATAGTGGAGAAAATTCCCGAGAATTCATGTGGAATTTAAGTCTAATGAAAACAATTCATATGGAATTATGTGTAAACGCTTGTAAACATAAGATTATTTTACCTTTTGTACGTTAAATATATTTTATTTTATTTTAAATTGTAGGGACACAATTTTTTTTCAGGGGAGAGCAGAAGTAGCATTTGATATATAATGTAAAGTTTATGTATATTTATAATTATTTTCAGTAACAGCTGATGTGCCTGAAAGCAGACTGTATTTTATGAATGTTCATTAATGATAATGTCATTATGTTATTTAAACATTCATTATGTTATATCTTGATGAAGATGTTTAATGTTAAATGACGAGACGTCATTTTCCAAGGAGCAGGAGTGTGTAGCAGGGTCATATTTTTGTATGACAGTATTATGAAACGTGTCAGCTCTTTCCGGTGTTTTATTTCTTTAGGTTTTGATAAGTTCTTGCTGGTCTTTTATTTTCTTGTTTTCTGTGTGATCTCGCGAGAGTTTGGCGGGAATGTTGTGCAGGTTTTGAAAAGAGTTTACATGGTTGATGTAGAGAACATTCTGTTAATTTGAACTTGTTTATATGATTTACATTTGGTTGAGCTATCCAAGTGTTTGTGAGAAGTATTTAAGGTAGTTTTGTGATGGCTGAAATGATTATTTATTATTCGGTTTATTTGCAATGTTGTATTTTACAGCGCGTTGAATGTTCCAAAATGGCAGTCATTGACTTTCTCTTTCAATTCTATATTTTTATAACCAGCATGTATTATATGTTTTAATCTTGTTCACAGTTAACCATCACGTGAGACAGGATGTATGTGATGTGAAGTGAAGTGCTATAGATTCTAATTTGTCATTGGTTTATTGTGGAATAGGCTTAAGATCCCATAGATCTGTAAGTATAAGAGTATGTTGGTATTTATACCTTTTGTAATAATGTAAACATTATACATGTAATGTTTAACTGGTAAGACATACGAGTACAAATGCTTTAATCATTTAGTGATCTTAATGTCTATGGTAATAAGATGTTTAAATGCTATGTTTATTGATTGTATATATTATATGTGCAAACATTGTTATTATTATGTCATTTCAGTGCCTTGATTAAAGTTAACTTCAACAGAGAAGATATATTGTATATTCGTCATGACATGATATTGACTGTATATGTAGATTGGAAACAATAAATGAATAACCACATCTACCCTGTGTTATAACACCATGTGTTACATTATTATTATTATTATTATTATTATTATTAGAGCAATAGCACCTAATTCGACATACCCATTAATTCGACACCTTTATTACAATCACGAAATCCCAAAATTAAGCGTTTTAACTGATATTTTAATCGATATTTACGTCCATCATTCATCAGACCACAAATTATAAGCTATAGTTAACTTTTAAAACACACTTATTTAAGTTGTTTTTCAAACTGGACCTTCAACAGCTTGTCTATAGTTAAATTTCCCGCCAATGCGCGAGTGTCGAGCTTAGGAACCAAATTTAACAGGAAGTTCGTTATTTCGACACATGTGACTGAATCAAACCAATTTAGAACTAACTTAAATCAAACTGACCAAATATGACATTCCATGTACGTATATTGTGTTTGGCTGTGGACGAATAAGTATTAATTTGTATATATAAATGTTACCCCGTTAACGATGTTTGTTATTGAGGTATTAGATGCCGCTAATAAATTCTCATAAAGAAAAATACATTTCATTAGTAACATGTAATGGTAATGTTTCGTTCTAAAAAGCAAGTATACAATGTATTTGGTTTAAATGAATTTCAGCAACATTAGCTAGTGTTTTATAGTTTAAAATTACATATATTGATGCCTAATTGTGTATACATGTCAAGTAAAGCTAATGAAAAGAAATATTGCAGATGTTCGCCATCCAAGTTGATCAACACTATTTTTATGGTTCAAAGTGGTGTAATATCAAGGAAGATAAAAACAGCGATGATATTTGGCATCCTGACTGATAAGCTTAAGGTGACAACAGACACTTTCCGTGGTACTCACATAAATGTCATTTAAACAAAGTTATTTTAGTAATAATTGTTATTTATTTAATCTTTGTGCATTAAATGTCGTTGATCATCATAAAAAATAACATATTTGGAAAAAATGCCTTTGTAAATGATTGATTTTGAATAAAAATCCTAAAATTTTAAATCGTCATATCAAAGTCATTTTTTAATTTTTTGTCATCAAACTTTTGGAAAATAACCATACTTATATTATCTAGGGAACCGTGTCTCAAATTTTTTCTATCTTTTCTCAAAAAAATATTACGTAACGTCAAACATTTTATGCAACTTTTTTCACCATACATATTATGTAATTAAAGATAATTAAGTCGCCTATTGAGCAAACAAAAATCCCTGACACGGTTCCCTCCGTAAATGAATTTCCGTTCATGTGCTTTAAACCGCATGTTAATTGCTTGATTATTAAAAAAGTTATGCCGATTCAAAGATAGTCCGACCCGCATCAAACGAAGTGTCATAAATCGGCTGTTCTCTCTCGGACCCCTACGTTTCACGCTAAATAATTGCATAATACACAAATATCGCACCAGAGAGGGTCACAAGTTGCGGTAACATACTCTAACAACATTTTATGACCCAGTGACATCTGACCAATTAAAAAGCTGCTGATTAATATCAGTTTATAGCCGAAATTTCTTCAATTCTTAACGTGATTTACTGTCCGTCTGGTATCTGTCGCACATGTCACGTGACTATCGGTAAAATTTGAGGCACTCAGTGGGGGGAAATGGAACGCATTTGCGCACCGCTAGCGGGGTATTTAATTGTTTCCTTTTTGAAGTTTATTATTATTATCATTAGCATTATTATTGTATTATACCAGTGTCACTCTGCCTGTGTATTCGTGTATGAAATTCCGTTAAAATATAAAATAAAATAACAAAAAACTAAGCTTCTGACAGTCTTTTAAAGTCCATGGTAGATGTACAAATAAGAACGGAATATTATATATTTTTTCCACCAAATTGATAATGCTTCACATATTTTAATAGAAATAAAAGGTATTACTCGATCATTATGATCTGGCCTTCTTGACTTCTATTATGAATATCATCTATGCACGGCATAGAGATCCAGTTTCTACCGGGATAGACAATAAATTTCATACTTTGTCCCAGATTTATTAGTACTGTGTCCGATTTACTGGCGAACAATTTATTTTCACTGAGAATATATTTTAATATCTTTTTTTTATTTATAGAGAAATAATCATCCTTAGACAATCTAAAATGGTTTAGAAATTTGTCAGGGACACCTTACCACAAGTCACATAGGCGTTCACATAAAAAAAATGTTGTCTGTTTTTGTTGTTGTTTTACTTGACATTGTTAGAAAACGAGGTTGAATGTAAAGTAAGCCCTTGAATCCGTACAAAAGTCTATCAACTCAACGTAATATCTATCAGATTAACGGGACAGACAAATTATTTTCACACATTATGGATATTTTAGCAACTACATTTTTAATCAACCCCGTGGTCGTGCGATTTGCCGCTATGCTTAATTATTTATGTTTCATACATTATGTTACGTACATTGGCCGACAATTTCTTAATTTATAAAAAAGGCTAAATGTTGAGATATTCATAAAAGATGTACGTTAGTTGTACGATACATGTATTACGAGAAGTATGGACCAGTATGGACCTGTAATTCACGGATATATGGAACTACCGATTTCCCTCATTGATGCCACAACAGGGGGCGGAACGTTATCGATAATCGACAGGTTACGCGAATAGCAGATACAAATAGTATAGGTTCCGTTTTAAAACGTTTAAAAACACAATTTTTGGACTAACTGCTTCCAAAATTAAATCACGAATGTGTTCAGAAAAGGTTGATAAATCTACTTAGCAAAAAATCTCATTTTAGGTGTTTTCAGTGATAATTGACTCCGTTGTCACCTTAAGCTTAGTGGAAATGCACCAACTGGTTAATTTGAATCCAAACAGTGCGTGCTGACTGCAACACTACATGTTACCCGCTTATCTGTTATGAAGTAAAGATGAACAAGTCTTAGATCATTATGTATGGAAGAAAAACACTTTTAGATGACTATTTACCTGAGAGAAAAAACATTTGCCGGTATCAGTTATTTTAATACCAGTAGGCTACACGCTACACCGGCTCCCTTAGTCAAGTGGCAGACTTGCTTTGACTTAAAGCCATTAAAATACATAATTAATTATAATGAATGATGAGTATGAACTCAACTGATTATGTATTCAGAGTAGGCCTATGATTTAAACAAAGAACTAATCTAAAAAAGAAATGTTCCCGCTATACAGCCTGTCCGTGGTACGTACATAATGTGCACTGCTGACGCAATGTAATTTGAAATCCCGCTTCAAAGATTAATAATTAACCCTTTTCTCTATAATCAAATTATGTGTGTAAGACATACATGTATAAAAATGTATCTACACATGCACATTTTCACTGATTCAAGAGATGAACTGATCGTGCTTTTTAATTGAATATTCTTTCATAATCATGTTTGGGTCGTAAAGTATGTTGGAATTCATTTCAATTTTATATTATTTGAACCCCGGTGGATTAAAAACGCGCGAAAATGATGACATTGAGACATAATTATTATTTAATATTATATATAGTGTTCCACAACAGTAATCCATGATGATGTTCTAAAAATTCCTTACGCAAGACTGGATAAAAGGGAAATGGGAAGGGTTTTCTTCTGGGGCTCTGTCGGCATCCTTCGGGGCTCTGCCTGGATCGATTAGGGCTCTGCCGGCCTTCACCGGGGCTCTGCCAGCATTCACCGGGGCTCTACCGTATCATGCCCCGGATCATCCTCGGTTTCTGCCTGCAGAGCTACGTACTGTGCTTTCCCAGTGTATCCGGCAGAGCTAAGGATGAAGTCGGCAAAGCTATACTTCCCGGATCATCCCGGACCACCCCGGTGATATTAGATATTTTATTCCATCCGGGGTCGAATGCCGGATGTTCCCGGGTCATCCCGGACGTTGCCGGCAAAGTTCCGGTTGTTCCCGGATCACCCCGGACGTCTACCTGCAGGGCTCCGTCGGGATGTAAGCAATAACTATATATTGTATCCCATGATCAATTTAGTTTGCAGGTTTGAATAACTTGCAATACGGATATTCTGTTTTCTTTTTCGTCAAACACTAACCTATAGTAAATAGCTTTTTTGTTCGCTCTTGAAGGCGTGTTACAAAATAAGACACGTCTTCTTTTCAAATGAATTGGTTAACAATGTGTATATAAGTATTTCGAATAATGATGAAAACATTAAAATGTATCATTTGGATATTCTTATAAAGTATTTCTGGGAAAAGAATGTTGATAGAGTCCTAAATGATTTAGAATGAACATTTAATTGATAAAAAGTGTTTGTTCTAGAACAATATTTCATCTGCTATATATACATATTTAATATCGGAATATGTATCTCACACTTACTAAATCCATACATACATTTTTTGTGTGTGTTTTATTGGCATGTATGATAATATAATTATAAGATTGGACTATCATATTTATAATAATAGTGATACAATTGCAGAAAGCATATATACAGATCTTTTCATAAATGTTTTTCGATATCTTCATAAAATTGTTTGTAAGTACATGAAGGCAGTCCTTTTGAAATCGTAGAAATAGTATTAATATAGGTATTATTGTTTTATTCTTTGTGTCCGCATTTTCAGATTTATACGATTTGTTTGGTTGTATTTAATATTGACGATTAAATACACCTCACTTAAACGGACAAATCTTTACTTAATTCATCGTAAATGCTGCACATACAAATAAAGAGTTGTATCCGAATTTCCCGTCTATTCCAATACTTGTGTTGATTGCAGACCACTTAAAAATCCGGAGAACGAGTGATCCCTCGGAAGCATTAATTACAACAAAATTGCATGAAAATTGTAAACTTGGTTTGATTGAGTCTGTACATGAGGGATAATGAAAAAATGCAACATGCCCCACGTCCCCTAGCACCGTCTTGAGCGGTACACTTTTTTAATAATGAAAAAGTGCAACATTCCTTACGCTCCCTTGCACCGACATAACCGGTACACATTTGTTATAATGAAAATGTGCAACATCCCGTATGACCCCTAGCACCAGCTTGCGCGGTAATTAATTTTCAACACTGGAAAGTGTTGGAATCAAAGCAAAAGGACTGTGCATGAAGTGTCAAAAAGTCGCATTGTTTGTTTTATCTAACGAACAGCTTGAAACAAGCCAGGTATATATGGCAACATACGTATTATATTTAAATACAACTTTAGCCGGTGTCTGGGGCCGTTAGAAAGAGATGTTACACTTATATACAGTGTCCTGTCGTGACACACACACATAACGCACAAAATTACGATATTTCAACATTTTTTATATATTGGCTTTCGAAGGATCTTTTATTTCCCCCAAAAATATTCGTGTTTACCATTCTTATGTAATTTATACAAGTATTTTACACGATGAAAAAGACGAAAGTGCTGTTTAACGTGCCTAGTTGTGACATAAGTATATTAAGTAAACTCGTGTTTATCAAACATTAAAAACAATAAAAAGATAAACAAACAATGTTGAAACAATATTATGTCATGCCATTAGGAAACAAAATACACGAAAGGTACCAACCAATCATAGAAGCATGTCTTTCTTTTTTTATTTTTTTGATGAGGTTTACATGGTGTTTCTAAAAAGAAAACATAAGCTTTAAAACCACATTTAAAAGGGAAAAACATATATCCTGGTCGACATTTACTTATATAAGATGGTCAAAACTGATATATTTTATATATCTTCTTTAGTTTCATCGTGACCGAAAGCTTTGCATTTTAACAATCGACATGAATAAGTCACTTTTAGTTTTGCTATTGGTAGGATGCATTACCATTGCAATAGTACCTGATGTAGCAGAAGGTAAGATTTATTTTCATTTTGTGTAACACCTATTTTTAAGTTAATCTCTGTTTAAACATGCATTCGCTTGAAACGAACTTATTGCGCAGAATAGAAAAGAATAACACAAATGTGTGTATTCACATTTTCTTACAATTAGTTACAGAAAGTCTAAATATTTTTAACTCTCTTTTAACTCTGCTAAAGAAAAACAGGTGAAAAATTTTGAACCTAATTGACGCGATTATTATTAATAATAAATTGTTAATATGCACGTTAGAACAATTGTAATACATTTCTACGTCGTTTACAACATTGTTGCTGTGTTTGCAGACTAGTTTCAGACATTGTGATATTTTGTATTAAACTCTCCAACTTATTTGTTATGATACATTTTGTAATGTTTGTAATGGTCATTTGATTACGTATTTACGTTTGCGTATTTATAACGTTCGCTTCATTTGCCATGAAATGTTGCTTTAAAATGCATTATCTATCATTACCTTGTAGATATCTGGCATATTGCGTCACTTCCGTTGCGTCACTTCCGTATTTAATAGCGAGCTCGACGAGCTGGCCCGAAGGGCCTGCTCGCAAAGCGAGCTTTACGGTAACGCGAGTACCTGCTAAGTGATGGTTTTGAAAACTTTCGTCTAAAGTACCGAATTGGACACATCGCAACCTTTCGAATTTAAAGATAACGATAAAAACTGAGGAATTCTGACTGAAAACGGATGTGTAGACTGGTCACCCGCGCGCGTCTTTGGGAACCATAATTGGACAAGGAACCAGAATAACGGAAGCTGTGTATAAAAAATGAAAATCGAAGGCGCCATTTTGTTTGAAATCTGATAAATAAAAACAATTTTTTATCGAATTTTGTTGTGAAAACTATCTAGAATGAAAGAAAATGGTCTAACTAAGAAAATGAATCCGAACACCAATATCTTTTATTCAGTCGTTAACGCTGTACAGACGTTTAAAGTATTGTTTACGTGACGTCACAATGTAGCGCCAAACAGCACGTGCAAACAAACAAATCAAGTACGCTATTTTAATGTCGCAAACGTTTTAAGTTTTACATTTATTTCACTTTAAATAATCTTTATTTCGCTTGAAAAATTATAGAGTGAAAGAAAATAAACAAAGTTTTATCAGCGTTTTCAAAACTCGTTATTCATTTCACGACAGGGGCGGAGCCATATTTAACACAGTACGTGTGACGTCACACGCACTCGTTACTGCATTTGAAATAAAAATGAGCGATTATTTCATACTATTTCACGTAAAAAGTACATCGAGCTCGCTTTGAGGCTTTGCCTTTTTCATATTAAAATTAAAATATAAAATAAGCTTAATGATCCTTCGGGATCATTGATGCCAGCACTAATATGAAAAAGGCAAAGCCTCAAAGCGAGCTCGATGTACTTTTTACGTGAAATAGTATGAAATAATCGCTTATTTTTATTTCAAATGCAGTAACGAGTGCGTGTGACGTCACACGTACTGTGTTAAATATATTCTGGTTCCCGGCATCTAACAAGTATTACGTAGCGAAAGGGGAAGGAACTCCAGACTATGTTAAATATGGCCCCGCCCCTGTCGTGAAATGAATAACGAGTTTTGAAAACGTTGATAAAACTTTGTTTATTTTATTTCACTCTATAATTTTTCAAGCGAAATAAAGATTATTTAAAGTGAAATAAATGTAAAACTGAAAACGTTTGCGACATTAAAATAGCGTACTTGATTTGTTTGTTTTGCACGTGCTGTTTGGCGCTACATTGTGACGTCACGTAAACAATACTTTAAACGTCTGTACAGCGTTAACGACTGAATAAAAGATATTGGTGTTCGGATTCATTTTCTTAGTTAGACCAATTTCTTTCATTCTAGATAGTTTTCACAATAAAATTCGACAAAAAATTGTTTTTATTTATCAGATTTCAAACAAAATGGCGCCTTCGATTTTCATTTTTTATACACAGCTTCCGTTATTCTGGTTCCCTGCCCAATTATGGTTCCCATAGACGTGCGCGGGTGACCAGTCTACACATCCGTTTTCAGTCAGAATTCCTCAGTTTTTATCGTTATCTTTAAATTCGAAAGGTTGCGATGTGTCCAATTCGGTACTTTGGACGAAAGTTTTCAAAACCATCACTTAGCAGGTACTCGCGTTACCGTAAAGCTCGCTTTGCGAGCAGGCCCTTCGGGCCAGCTCGTCGAGCTCGCTATTAAGTGTTAACTGAGAATTGGGTACCGCTCAAGCCGGTGCTAGGGGCCGTGAGGGATGTTGCACGTAATCATTATCCCTCATGTACAGACTCAATCAAACCGAGTCTGCAATTCTCTTGTAATTTTGTTGTGATTAATGCTTCCGAGGGATCACTTTGTTTCCAAAATTTTAAAAAAGATATAGAGCAGCACAAATCGTGTCAACGTTACGATTTCATTTATACATTATAATATGAATATTGATATTTCATAAGAAATGTTAAAATGGTGGCCAATTTTATATGTGTTATCTAATAAAAAAAACCCAAATATTTCAGCCCAGTACAGACCGCCAGGTGGACGTTGTAGCTGCCGAAATAGTTGTTTGTATGGCGAATTTCCAAGAGGTCCGTGTGGTTACAGAAGACAGCTTTGTTGTAGAAGTGGTGGAATGGTTGGTTAACAAGGTACTCAAAGATGCAATTAAGTAATCTAAGTACAATATTATTCTGTTGATTTTTTCCACTGTATGAAAGTTTCAAAGCATCAGGAGTATTTTATATATTAGAATTGTTGGTATTATTGTCAAAGAAACTTTGACTATGAGTTGATTGTAATAAGATAATATAGTTAATTCAAACACAAATTCAAACTTATTTTTCAAATATAACAATTGAAAATATTTGTGTTTTTTTCAGACTGGACGTTTTTTCTCCGGAGTTGACAGTATTCGGTGAATGCGAAACGATAAATTCATCTGTGAATTATTTGTGATGTACTGAATTAAACTTCAAATGATTCCAACATGATTTGTTTTATGATTTGCCTACTATGAATTATGTGAAACATTGTCATTAAAATTGATGCCTTTTCAGAAACATGCTACATTGACATGAATGTCATTGATCATTGTACTTACTAAAGGATAACGTTATTGACTGTCAGGTTTAATTAACATAATAACTGTCACTGTGTAATATCTCAGCAGGTAAACTAATTTTTTATTTCTGCATTCCAAATACTAAAACATTGCCCCACATTAAGTCAAAGTACACTACAAGAAACAAGGAAAATACGTTGCTCATTTAATGTATTGTTTATTTAGATCGATTGATGTAAAATGAGTTTATTTTAATTCATAAATATCTGATCATTTTGAAGTTTTAATAACTTTACATTGTCTTATAATTGCCGTGAAAGATTTGCAGGTATGTAATATTTCGTAAATATTTAGACTGTTGTAATACTCCTTGAAGATGATCATGTAACGTTCTTGTGAGTACTTTCATTGCACCTAATTACTCCATGATGATAACAACATTTTTTTCATTGGTTTAAGAAAACCATCCATTTAATTACATACTTTGATTGATATTTTCCAAGATTTTAAAGGACCAGGAATACTGCCTTAATTTTCATTGTTAATAAGTCTATGTTGACCATTCTATTGAGACATTAGTGCTGCCAGCGTATGGAAAATTATGGTGGTATATACATCCTACTTTTAGTAGGTTATCTACTTTTATTTTTGCAGTACTATCAATGAACGCAGCCGGTTTTTGAGAAAATACATTTTGAATTGATGCGTTTAGTGTGTAAAATATATGACATGACAAGAACATCAAAAGAATCATGATTATATTTATGACTTCGTGGTATAATGACAGTGACTCATTATATTATTTATTCTGCGAAAAAACCTTAATATGTAAAAGAAAAAAGACGAATGTGTTATTTTGATGTAATAAACTTAAAGATTCTTATGTGGAAACAACGATCACAAAGCAATGATCAAAACAAGGACTGATTAATTACAGCCATGTATAATTCTTTTTTTAAATTGACGAAAACTATAAATGTATTCGTATCACTGTGCAAATAAGTACCTTCTTGAATGTATTTTTTTTTGATTTCATTTGATTAATTGCTTATAATTGCACCTGTCCTTGCTCGCCCTTGTGACGTCACTTCCTGCTTATGTTTCGTGCCCTTGACGGTGACGCTAGCTTTATGTTTTCGTGTTGGTTGAAGTGTGCTTTTATTGAATCTGAACCTCCTTGTTGATCTTTGACTTTTATTCCAATGAAGGTAGTTGCTTTAGTGTTTGACAGTATTTGATATTGATATTAAATACTAAAAGAATTTATCAAAACTTATCTTAAATGGTACACATATAAACTTGCGCTGTTTAAGTTCAGTTGTATATTAGTTTCCCGTCTAAGATGGCGTTTCTAATTCCGAATTACCATTTCGATTACATATAAAGGAATTATATAAGTACTGTTCTAAGTCTTAACATTGTTAATAGTTGTTTTATTTTTGATAAACTACTCGTTCAAATGTGAACCAGATAATATATGTTTTATTCAAGTAAAGATTAAAACTTTGATTATGATAGTTTACACCAAATTAAATATATGTATGTCTTTCACTTGTTCACCACCAACAGTTTGATTACAACGATTAGAATTTTTCTAATGCCCAATTGTTTTTCTAATACCCGACTTTGAAAAACTACATTTATTCAAATTCTTGTGTTAAGCCCACGAAAGGTAGTGAAAGAAAGATGTAACATTTTAATTATCTCTCACGAACAGGTCTGCGATAACCAATGATTTGTTTCTGTTTTCATTGCTTCCGGAGGTCATTGGGTGGTGTTGGGATCACGGCAGTGACATTGAATTTACCAGACCACAGTTCAGCCACCGCATCGTTCCTGGGCAAACTGTCAAGCGCATTGGTCGATTGTTCCGCTATCGCTCACTTTCTTACGTAACGTGAGTGTATTCAGTGAGCTGCGAAGGGAGGGTATCAAGCAATTTACCAGAAGTAGTTGCCTTCACTTTCAAAAGGAACTGAAACTTCTGTACATACCAGAGCAGAAGAGGTACAGCGGAATGACCGTAGAAAAGACTTCATGATCAATCACAACGTAAGTGACGTGCACCATCCGGGAGAGAGCCCGGGCCGCCCGATTCACAGTCCAACGTCTACCTATTGAGCTAACCGGGCGGCTGCTTTCAGGAAATACCGTTATCTCATTTTCAAAAGTTTTATTTTCTTAACGCTGCCACAACGAAAGTAACCTGCCCTGCACTTTCTGGGAATCGAACCCGGGCCGCCCGATTCACAGACAAACGCTCTACCCATTGAGCTTATCGGACGGCTGCTTTCAGGGGATATATCATTTTCAAAGGTGCTGCCATGTTGGAAGCGCTGTTTCCCCGTTTCTTAAGTGTATTCGTAGTTTAATTTTCTGGTCTTTCGAGATCATTGATTCCAGTAATTTCATATAATTTTTAGTTTACATAATATTTTAGCCGGTGCTTCGAACGATAAGTGATGTCACATTTACCATTAACTCCCATAAACTGACTGAAAAGAATCGCATCTGCAAACTTGAACATATTTCTTTGTATTTGGATGAATCTTGTATTGACAGAATTATTGTTTTTAAATTGTTTACAAGGTGCTTTTTCAAGTTCCTTTTTTGTAACATAAATATGTGAAGTTAACACGATTTGAAAATCATTTATAACAATCAAAAGACAAATAAAACATTTCTGAAACAAAAATGATGTGATGTCGTTAGAAAACAAAGGCGGCAACAATTTAATTTGTCATTAACGATACCAAACAACCATAAGAGAATGTACTTTTTGTTTTTTTACAATGTTATTTACATGGTGTAACAAATAAGAAAACAAAAGCTTTTACCCACATTAAATAGGGAAATATATGTACATATATCCTGGTCGATATTTTCTATGTAACATGGTCAAATTTTAAATATTTTATATATCTCCCGACTTTAGACAGTTATTGACTGAACAATTTTGCATTTTAACAATCGATATGAATAAATAACTTTTAGTTTTCCTATTGGTAGGATGCATTACCATTTCAATAGTACCTGATGTGGCAGAAGGTAAGATTTATTTTCATTTTGTGAAACACCTATGTTTTCAGTAAATCACCGTTTAAACATGCACCTTTTGCAGAAAAGAAAAGGATAACTATATTTTGTCTTCACTTCTTGTAACAATTAATAACAGTTTATGATAGTCTATAACATTTTATTTCTCTGTGTAAAATACTAAAAAATACATGTATAAAACATTTTGTATTGCTCATGTGGTCAAAATAGCGTTTTTTTTGTTCTTATGACACGGGTTCTTGCTTTTAAACGCATCATTTATCATTACTGCTGGAATATTTGGCACCTTGCGTCACTTGCGTGTTTAACCATCTTAAGATATCAATTCAGCATCAAAATGACATAGAACAACCAGGGTGTCCGTTTGACCCTTGAAATGACTCTTTGACCCTTCAAATTTCCAAAAGGCTTGATTTGACCCTAAGGATTGTAACTGAAGGGTTAAATTTTGGTAAAATCATGGGGATTTGGACTTGTAGTCAGTAATACTTAGTCAAAATGGCCCTCAGGATTTCATGGCTAGTGAACACCCTGAACACACACATTGTGTCAAATATATCTTTATGTACATTATAATATGAATATTAATATAATGAACGAAACATGAACAAAGTAGCCAAGTTTATACGAGCTAATAATCATTTTACGTTATCTAAAAAAAACTGCCAACAATTTCAGCCCAGTACAGACCACCAGGTGTTGACAGACGTTGTAGTTGCAAATCTAGGTGTTGGCGTGGCGAATACTCAAGAGAACCGTGCGGATACAGACACCAGCTTTGTTGCAGGAGGGGTGGATGGTTTGATTAACAAATTAAAATTGTCAAAAATTTAATTATGTAGGAACGTATATTTTTTAATCTTTTCCTTTTATAACAAAGAATGCAATAGATAAAATTGTAATACAATACGTATCGATGATTAGTTTGCACATCAGTGGGAATATTATATTATATGAAATGTATACTTGTTAATAACATTGACAAATGAAATTTTGACACTGACAAGGTTGTTATTAGATATTTAAGTCACCTTAAACATGTATTTTGAAACCTGCCTTTCAAGTTGAACAAATGAAATTAATTATACAGATCTAACCTCTTTCTGTTTTTTTTTCTTTTTCAGATTCGATGACTTTACCTGTGCTGACAAAGTATTTGGCGAATGCGAAATGAGAAACCAACTCCATCAGTTTCTTGTTTGTGTTTTACTAATTTAAAAATAAAACTGCAATTGATGCGAAATTTATTTAGATCTTTTTTGTTTTATGTTGTATAACAATGTGATTGAAACATTTACGTTGTCACTAACATGACATCTTGATACGAAAGTCATTCAACATCGAACCTAGACATAGCGTTATTTTCTGTATGTTTACTTTATGTAATTAATGATATAAGCACATGTATAATATATCATAGGAAAACGAATCTGACTATTCTACATTTTCACATTAAATAGTTAACCTGAATATGTAAACAGCTATAGCGAGACACAACATATATTTTACATCACAAACGACATTCAGGAAAGAACGTCGCTAATTAAAAATTTTATCCAGTTAGACCAATTAGTTTAAAAAGGAGTTAATTATAATTCTTAAATGGACTTCTAGCGATATTTTTGTCGTGATAGGACTAGATTTTTTTTCTGGAATTTTGTTCCAGTTTATGTAGGTCTGGACCAATAACTTGTGTGCAAGTTGTCTGATCATTTTCTTACCCCATTTTCCCATAACCATCACTTTTATTTACAAAGTGGCACAAAATATGAAAAAGAGTGAACACGTTTTTCGTTCAAATCCGAAAATCGAATTAAAACTCGATTTCAATTTAGTTCTGAACATATTTCGTGATTATCATTAGCAG